TATGCCTGCCCCAGCTGTTTAGACAGTAACTCCAAATACAAGGAAATCACTAAAATATTTTGGAACCGCTTTTATTTTATTGCTACTGAGTGGAAATGGGATGCTTTATGAATACGTTTGCCTTCTACCAAAGCAGGGCTGGTAAGGTCAGGGGTTGTGGCCATGCACATGGCACCATTTGGCTCCTGGCCAATGTGCTGGCTAGAGCTCCAGCCGGGGCCTGGCTTTGCTGCAGGCAGATCAGAGTGAAGCCATCTCTGCCTGCTTTCGCCCATGCAGTGTGCCCACCGGTGGCGGGAGGCAGCACAGTGAAGATGAAGCTGCTGCACCCAACGAGGCAGCCAGCGCCTCCAGCCATCCCTTTGCGTGGGGTGTGCTTCACCCGCAGCAGGCCTCCTTTACCTGGTTTTTCACAGTTGTCTAGTTCAGGCAGGACCCAGAGGGAGATGCATTTCTGATATGCATAACTGGTTGCACATAACTACATCAAATGAGATCTGGAAGTCATTGTCTTTTGCCTAGATTAACTTCATTGGTGATTGCAAGTTGCTTAACATTTCAATTTTAATTTATTAAAATATTTTCCAACCACCTGACTAGTGTACAAGAGTATGATTAAACTGGTGCAGTAGATAATTTATCGCATTTCTATAGCAGCTAGTAGTTGATGGTCTAATAAGAAAGCAGTACATCACAATCATAATGTTAATCGCATTTCTGAATGTCTCTGGCTCATTTTACATGTGAACAACTTCCTTAAGATCCTTTGTGATATTTTTAAGGTGCAAAGACTCAGGTTCATCATGCAAAGCCATTCCCATGGTTGCGGTAGCATCATTTAGACACCTAAATGCTGGAAATAGCTGACAGTTTCCTACACAACTGCTATACCCAGGAAAGCCAGGAAGGATAGGAAGAGGATGTTTGCATGTTATGAGCCAGCCTTTTCTTGGAACCATATACTATTCTAGTTGGGACAGTCTCGTGCAGCTGTATATATTTAAGGCTCCAAGTTTATAATGAATCTGTTTTATAGGATCTCACATTCCTTTTGTACTGTGATTTAGAATTCTTTAGAATTGTTGTCTTCCGGCGCCTTTCAAATTAAATCCAGCTATTAGCAATGTTTACTCACTTCACCCTGAAGCTAGACTCCTTTCTAAAGACAAAAGTCGTAGCTTTTGTTTTTATTAAAGCACGTGTTTTGAGTTACTTGCCTTTTAGGTCATATTTGCAAGCTTCAGAGGCAATGCATTTTGTCTTACATTTTTGTTGAGTGCATTTTAAAACCTCAGTAACCTTCAATCTTTATATCATGCACAATTTTTGGTGGAGAAATTACATTAAGAGGGAATGATAAAATTATAAGCAAGTGTTAATTTTGTTGTTTCATTAAAGTGTGTGTGTGTGTGGGGGTGCTAATCTTGCATTTTCAACCAAAAGTAAAGTGTTAAATAAAGCTTAAAACATTCCACCATAAGGCCCACTGGTTTCAGTGGAACTTATTTTCAAGTGGGTAATGACTGCATTCAAATGTAGCATTCGTGAGTCTCCAAACAATTGGGAGATTGGGAATGCGTCCTCATATTTTTTGCTTCAACAGAGGACTTGTCTTAATGGATACTTTCTTGGTTGATCAAACCATAGGTGTTGTCGTGTATAAAACTGAAAATATACACAGTGTTGTTGTGTATAAAACTCTAGGTTTGCAAGCCCAGAATCCAATTGCCTAATGAAGCCACTGGATTCAATAATTCATACTTAGTTGTAAGTGTGCCAAAGATTCAATCCCAGTTGCTTATTTGCAGGCATAGCAAGAATGAGGTTGATCTGTTGATGATTTTCATTTGTGCCCTTTTCCCACATGAAAGCTAAATGCTACCATCATATGTTTGTAATGCATTTTACTACTCACATCTGATCAAAGTTGTATAGCTGCTCGTTTAAGATAAATTCTCATTATGAGCTCACACTGCTTAGCTATGATGGGTTACTTAGCTTCTATGAAAGTGAATTATCTTATATTGATTGCCCTCAATAAAACAGCAGTTCTGTCTGCTAAAGAAAGCATGGTTAACTGAGACCTTGTATAATAGGATGGATGGATGGATAGATAGATAGATAAAGGCACAGTCATGATATTCTGTATAATGAAGCACTACAAAACAAGTCTTTCAGATTTCAGGGGCAGGGGTGGGCTGGGGAAGTCATTCCTCCAGGCTGAATTTCTGCACAGGATACCAAAGAGGTGTTATTAGCAAATCTCAAAAGGATAAGAATGTTTTTAAGATCAATAATGATTGATTTGGAGCTTGACTTCCTGCTAGATCCATAGAGACTTAACCCATCTTCTGAAACACACACACAGAGAATTTAGCTCTATGGTTCTTAACATCAGTTTAGACAGAAGCCCATCTAAAAAAATCACCTGTGAGACTGAAAAACAACAGCAACAACCACCAGATTTATTTCTTCAGATTAGCACACAAATTTTGTAGGAGCCAACCTGAGATCCAGTTGTTTTCTGTAGGATTACAAATTGACTTTAGGTCAGATGCCTGATGCAGCTTGCTAGAAACAGGAAGAAAGGATGCTCTATATTAAGGTTTGATTTGTGTTGTTTAGAAGAACAGAGAAGACTTCGTTTTTCACTTAGTAATCATGGTTAGTAAATCATGCTTAGTGAAATTCATACACAACAAAAATATAAAGGGAACTCATTTTGTCATTTCCTCTTAATGTAATTACTCCACTAAAAATGGTGCATGATGTAAGTGCTGAGATTTTAAAAGCACACACAACAAAAATATAAAGGGCTCTCATTCCCTCTACAGATTCTGCAATATGCTTTCCCTATGTCTAAGAACTGGAGAGTAGTTGTAAACATGGAATTCAAACTGGTCCGTCCATTCTACAGAAGCTGCTTGTTAGCATTTTCCTTTTGTAGCTGCTTGTTAAAATGCTCTCAAAATATGACATAGTAATGATGGTGCAGGGGGCTCTGTCTTCTATTCTTATTCCTGCTACAAGTATTGAATGAAAAGACGGGGGGATAAAATGTATAGTATAAATGTATAATAGATTATAACTGGCTGTTTGCATCAGCTGGAAAAGTGTGTTTCTTGTTCCATTCAGTTGTGTTCATATAGTATAGGTAGAGCTGTGGTAAAGGAGGTGGCCCCTTTTAGCTACACGGATGGCAATGACAGTAAAACCTCAGCAGGCTTTGCCAAAAACGTTGCAACTGGCTGTATTTTACTTTAGCAGAATTTGCTGAGTCTTCATCATGACTATGAATGGTTTCATGTGTGAGATTTCTCTCTGCCTGCCCCAGAGCCTTCTAAGGCTCAGTCCAGAACAGGCATTGCTTTTTCTTCTGTTTCTCAGAAAATTACTTTGGGCACTCGGTGTGTTCGCTGAGAGGTTGGGCTGGGCTGGCACCCTACCTGCTCTGCTTGCTCTGAATTACCATAAGACCAGGTAGTATCAACCCCAGAGATTTCACTGCCTGAAGGGAGCCCAAAGGCTGCCCCCTCTTCAACTAGAGCCCATACCGTGCACATCCCAGGAGAATACCCGCAAGGGAATGGAGGGCCTCAACGGAAAAATGGCTGCCCGCCCATTTATTGTTTCTGCTATCTGTATGTTTGTCATTTGCTTTCTCGTTAGAGCAAGGATTGCCAGCCTGGGGTGCCTGCATCCCAGTGGTGCAACAAAGAGGAAGGCTGTGTTGCCATTCTCCAATTTTTTCACCAAAAATATCCCAACAATAAAATTATTTATGCTTATTTTATTTGCATATGGGTTCATTTCTCTTTTGTCAATCAAGACAAAATGCAGGAATTGCCTGAATCCACAGATAGCCTTTCGGGATCTCTATCAGTAAGAAAGTGCCATGTTTTGACAAAATTGTGAATGAAAAGCGGGGGAAAAAAGAAGTCATTGAATTTTATGTTCACAATTTGGATTGATTTTAATGTTTTTTATTTTTTCTGATTGCTCAATTTATATTTGAATGTTAAGCACTAGGTTAAAAGCACTTTTAATTCAATTTGTTCACTAGCAGTACTTTATGCGGTTCAATTTTTGGTTCCAAAATTAGAAATTTGACAGCATCTTCAAATGTGATACTACTTTTGTAGGCAGTGTCAACAGGAACATTTTCTAGGGGTTGAGAACCACTGTGTTAGGGTAACTTGGTGTTTATCTTGCCCATCACCTTGGGAAATTGCCATTGGAAAAGCAGCCCTTCAATATTATGAGTATGGAAATGAATTCAGACAACCATGGATGCTGGTCTGCAGGGCCATTTCTATTCTAGACACACATGCACATCCACCCTGCTCTCGGAGCCTGTGCACTGTCAGTCATACAAACAGTGTAAGCTGTTTGTGGCCGAGGTCCAGCCACCCTGAGTGTACATGCTTGGCATGTTCTCTGTGAGTACTGCAGGCACGTTTTCCCTGTAGAACCTGAAAAATCCTTGTTTTGCAAGACAGCTTTTTTTAACCACACTATGAAAAAACTCTCTGCATTTCTCTAGTTGGAACAGTAATCCATGCCAACCAACCAACCAATGTTTGGTAAATAAAACACAGTTTTATGAAATGAAGCATTTCAGTATTATTTTAATAGGTTATTATGTGGATATATCTTTACATACATGTTTGATATTGTAATATTCTTATGGAAGAGTTATTCATGCTCTTGTTGGTTGTATTTATTGTATACCATGTTCTATTTTCATCATACTTGGCTAGTATTACCAACAATGGCTATTAATGCATGGCAAAGTATTGGAAGTAGCATAGTGTTAAATAAAAGAACATAGTGTTTTGTTTGTTTTTAAAGGAAAAAAGAGGAATCATAGGATTTAACGAAGATTGCAGCATTTTAAACATGCAGTGGGAAAAATCATTGGAAGAATTTTTGTGTCAATGCTTTTGTATCACTATTTTAATACATGTTCAGTTCATGTTTGTTCTTCTCTCTTCTTAAAGGTTCGGCATCGATGGTGTGAGCTGGTTATTAAACACAAATTCAAGGCAGGGTATGTTGATGTAGAGAAATTTCTCAAGGAAGATCAGGTTAGTTCTATTCACTTAATATTTTCTATATAGCCAGAAGAGTAAAGGTGTGTAGAGTGTAGCTAGATTAGAATGAAAATTACCCTTAAAAGGTTCTACCAACATAAACTCTGTGTTCTACTTGCTGCAACTTGTATTGTTAGAGTGATTTAAATACTTTAAAATTGATGCAAAGTTAAAATTATCCTTCTGTTAATACAATTCCTGGCCCATTCAGCTGTTTTTTCTGCTGCTTTTCTTTTCCTTGTTTGTTTTTTACCCTGAAGTGTCACCTTTGCTTGTTCCATCTTCTTCATTACTGTGGTGTTTATACCATTCTTAGTTTGCTTTCTTTCTACTTAAACCATTCTTAAGACTTTCAGGATTTAGGATTTAGCCAGAATTTAGCTGTTTGCTTGCTTGCTTGCTTGTTCATTCGTTCATACATTACAAAGATTTCAAGTTGAAAAAGCATTTCCTTTCCAATCTGTCATCTTAATTTGCTTATGTTGAGTAATACGTGTTTTGCCCTTCCCCTCTGTCCTTGAACTTTCAGAGGAAAATTCATCCTATTCCACTTGAACAGTCTACCGAAACATAGGAAATAGCTATCATATTTATAGAAAACAGGCGCTTAAACTGAGGGGGAAAAGACAAAGAAGGATGATAGGTTAGCAAGAAATCTGGACATAGGAGAATAAAACAACTAACTGTGGAGAGGATTGCTAGGAAGTTCATAAATAGCATGCAGTATGGGTGAAACCTCACAGTGGTATGCGATTGTAATTTGCTCACATACCATGCCACTAAGATACACCTGTGTATTTTCCTTGTGTTTGTGCTTTGTTGCTTAGCATCACATTCCACAACATTTGGAAGCCTCCAAAGAATAGCAGAAAATCCTAGGAACTTGAAAGCTCTAATGCAAAAGGATAGATATTTAGGTTTCACAGAAGATGCAAGAACTTCCAACAAAATGATACGAGGATTAAAACAAAAAACTGGGGGAGAACCAGATGCACAAATTTAGCAACAGCCTTATAAATATGTTGGATATTTTCTGGCATTACCACCCATGATTATTTCATATGCTGTGCCTTTAAAAAAAAGTCTAATGTACTAGAATAATTTCCTCCATTTTGGAATTGCTGTAAACACTTCATAGGGAGTAGCAGTGGAGTTTATGTCAAGTGATTTGGGCAGGAGAAGTAGTTCAGGGTTTTTGAGAGTCTTTGGAGTATTAACTTTTCATACTCTTATCTGCCACTTTATAGATCAACTAACATAATAAAACTGTTTTTGCACTACTTGATTATTGATCTGCAAACTGTTCTTTGGGAGCAATACATTTTGTTTCTTGGGATTGTAATTTTTTAAAAACCTTTATTTTCCTGCAGTGCCAGAGGCTTTTTAAAATGTTTACAAACTCAGGAGGAAAACTTTTTCAAAAAATAAAATCTAAGAAAGATTATGAACTCCTGTTTTTGTAGTTTCCTTTTGTTTGGTGGCACATGGCCTACCCAATCACAGCTTCCTTAAACAGATTTATCTGTTTAAAATTATCCCCCCCCCCAACAGTACTTTAAAAATGGACCAGGAAGATCCTTTTCCAGATATTGAGTGTGTCAGTAATTGCAGTGGCTTCATCCATTGGCTAAAAACAATAACAAGGGAGCAGATTTGTCTCTCACAAGGTGAATAGGCATGGCAGCAGGCACTTATTTCGCCTTGGCTCTCAGGACGCCATAACCTAGTACCTTGGATCCTGAATCACCGTCCCTTTTATAAAAGGCTCTTTCCATCCATGGAACGAACACTGATCCAGCCAAGGTTCCCACTGGTGGAAGGCAGATGATGGTTATTAATTCCTTGTGTGCCACATCCCATGGTGGTCTGGAAGCTCTCCCCGTGCATATTTTTGTACAGAATTGGGGGTTGAGGAATGATCAGCAGAAAGTGCTTCCGCTTTTTCCACCATTAGGAGTATCTGATGAGGGGAGCTTTGCCCTGAGGAATTGAGGATTTAATTTAAAGTTCAACAAAACAAAAAGAGTTGTTGACTCTATTACAATGGGCATGGTTATTTTTATATTGTGATACTCCTGAAGTAGAGCCTTTAAGATCAAAATGCTTGGTTTCTTCTTTTGGCTTGGCATTTCAAGATCCCGATTTACAGTAAAGGCACTTTGATAGGATTTTAGCATAAATTATTTATGTGAGAGTGGTTTCGGATAGTTGCAAAATGTAACAGCTACCCCAATTGGAAAAAATAATTGGTGTTCTAAGTAAACACTGATCTTGTTCACGTTTTTTCAAGGACTTTTTTTTTTCAGTTTGTTTCTCTGTGTTCAAAATCAACATTTGGAGTAGGGAAACACAAGTAGGGACACAGCTACTGCTCGCATGATGAGAAAAATATATCATGGAATTTCAGAGAAGCAGCATCTGCAATCTTCCATATGTTTCCAACCCAAGCATTAATTTGCACACAACAAGAACAAACAGCATGTTTCCAAGCATAACACGAGCACCTTAGATGTTACACTGCTCACACAAGTAGATTTTCACATGGTAGTTAGTCACAGAGGTTTGCCAGCTGCAGTAACATATAAACCAGCTTGAAGTACTCAACCAGCAGTATTAAGTCAAAGGATTTCAATGAAGATGGATTTATACTTTCATGCTCTTTAAGAATTCCTGATAGCAAATGGTAGATAATGTTTAAACCTCCCTTTTAATCTTCTCCAAAATTTTGTGCAAACTAAGACACTGGTAATATGCAAAATTAAAGCAGTCTGTTGTGCGTTCTAGTTTTGAAAGGCGACTTGGTTGTTCAGAAGTCTGAAGAAAATGCAAATGTAACCTTTGAGGGTATTTAGAATAACAGAAACGCCAGTGTTTCCTAAATTGTGATGTTTTAGTTATAGAGAAATAATTAAAAAAGGCACATCCAAATGAGAATTTTCAATGTGACTTCATTGGCTATTTGGCAGTACTCAGTAGAACACTAGATTCTTAAGAAATTACTACAGAAATTACTAACCAGTAATTTCCACTGGTTGTACATCATACATGCTAACCTATTTGTGTTAGCAATCTACCCAGCAGAAGGTAGTAGCTAGAATGAAGATGGTAGCCAGCTTACATATGCCAGGCTAATGGTTTAATGCTTAGTACAGAAGCATGAAGGAGTCTGAGCTGGTACCTCGGGGCAATGCAGTCCCTCCACACAGCTGCATACCAGCTTCTGCATGCGTTCTGTTTCCTCATGACAAATGTTAACATATTTTAGACAGAAAAAGTGCATCTTCTACGAGTATAAAAATAGATAAATAAATAAATCCATCCTAAATTCATTACACTGGAATTGATAGACGATTATACTGTGGAATTACTATGTTTTGTTTCCCCTTGCAGGCAATGGGTGTCTATCTGTATGGAGAACTGATGGTGAATGAGGACGCAACACAGCAAGAAATTGCATATAGAAGTTTTGCTGCAACCCGGGACCAAATGGATCCATCTTCAGCTAAAGTAGTGGCAGAGATGTTATTTTAATGAGGTGAATTTTTTGCCCAGCAAGTTACATTCTAAGAATGCCGGTTTAGAGAGAGGGGAGATGGCTTTTTTATCAATGAAATTAATGAAAACCTTTATTTGGTAAGATCTAATATCATATAATCAGCAATAGATCATAGAAGGGTTAAATCGTTTAAAGATAAAAATTTGAATAAAAAGGGTTCATTTAAAAAAATAAAAATTGAATACAACTATTAGATAAGTTTGCTGCACACAAAAGAAGTGGTTTGTCCTTGAGCAAATATTCATTCTTTTGTTGAACCAACCTATGATCTTGTCTGAAAAGATCCAATTTTAGACCGTTTTTAGTCAAAACCAAGGCTCTTGAGCTGAAAGATCCGTCTGATTTTTCAGGCTTCAAGGCTGCAGACAGGTCATAGCTCTGTGTGGACTTGGATGCTTTTCTTTTTACTATACATTCTTACGGATGCTATAGCCAACTTGCAAGACCAGGCAAGACCTGCATTGTGAGCAGGACGTGAGCAGACTGCCACCACCGCTGCACAGCACGCTCAAAAAGCAGATCTGTTGAGGAGAATGCTCACAAATGTGCTTCATCAAAATGCATCCTCCGTAAAGATACTAGATTCACATGTAAACTAAGCTATCCTTCATATTGTTCTTCCTACGTAGCTATTTGGATCTTTGATAAACCTCACAGCCAACTGACCTGCATTTTTAAACTGTACATGTGTATCTTTTTGTATGTAACTGGTGTAAACATGGACTATGTACCGTTTGTGACTGAATGGTAACAGCTGCGCTTTAATGTCAGTTTTTAGGTGTGGGGAGATCACCACTGGATAAGAATAATTTAGTCTCTTTTTTCCCCCACTCCAGGTGTGGGCTGTCCATTTGCAATCTATATATCTTACTCTGAAGTCGTTCTTACAAACCTGACTTGGTTGAAATCATGGGTTCTTTCTTTTTCCGAGGGCAACTCACTAGGTAGAGGGGGCTATTAGAACTACATGAAATGAGTTCATAGCAGACATACTGACTGAATTTGAATATGACAGTCCATCCCCTCCATCTAGTTATGATGGGGGTGGGGGTGGCTAGCCATAATGGGTTGTCGTGCTGTCTGGACCTGGGCAACTGACCCCCCCCCCTCCCGTGGGTACAGGGAATTGGCTAGCTATTCACTTGGCAACGCTAGGGAAAAACGTGGCTCTTGAGCCCCAGGTACGTGCAAGTTCCAGCCAGCCCAAAAGCAGCACTTGGGGGCAGCTAGCAGTGCCCCATTCTTGCCCATCAGGAGCTGTGTTTGATATCTACAGATGGTTCCTTCCAAATAACCCAGTAGCGCCTTGAAGGAGCTGTTTGTGCGCCTAATGCCAAGCATTGTTTAATTTTCTCAAATATTTGGGGAGGGGAAAACAAACTTGGTTGGTGGTTGTTTAAATGAAGATCATAAAAGCCATCTTGACAGCCAGCTTTTGTGAGTTCAGTAAATAAGTGCTAAATGTCCATGGCAAGCCAGAAACAACTCCTGATCACAGTGGGCAGGGTGGGTGAGGAGACAACGCTGTCCCTTTGGGGTATCCTCTTGAGCACCTACAGGAGGACCCAGGAGAGGAGGAGGAGAGGGACAGGCAAACCATGGTACATGGTGCGTTATTCGCAGCACCAGTCCACTGTGGATGACGACCAAGGTGGCTTGGGATGATGTGGCACCATGCCCACTAACAGCTTTCTAGTGTGTAACCGTCCTAACCCCTTAAGCAACACACCAAACAATATATTTTGTATGCTGAATAGCGTTAACACTATTGAATGTAGAATTTAACTATGCAATATTTCCCATTTATTTATTTGTTTGTTTGTTTGTTTGTTTGTTTGGGATGTAATTTTATGTTACTTGTACAAAGAGCCATTGTGGTGTAGTGGTTAAAACACTGGATAGGGAGCCTGGGCTCTAGTCCCCACTTGCCTGAAACTTGTTTGGCCACACACTCTGTGTAGCCTACCGCTTGGGATGATGGCAGTAAAACGCTGGGGGGGGGGGAGGCTATGTGGGATGCCCTGCATTCCCTGGGTCAGGCTAAAAATACGATAATATACCAACATTGCTTTACTATAAGGATCCTTTTGAAGCCAGCCTTACTTTGCATGTCAGTCTTTTGGATTGTTCACTTAAGTTTGCACTTGATGCAGTGTTAGAAGCCAATCATTGCCAAAACAGCCAATCAGAAAGTATTGCCTAAGCTATACCTAGGCCAGTGCAATATCAAAAGCATTTTATGATGGAAATGCAGGCAGATAAGCCTGTTAGAGGATGACTGTTGACTGAAGGTTACTTTAAATAGCATCGCTTAGTATGTGAGCGGGTACTGTTAAATGGTGACAAATACCTTGCTGGTGCTTTGTTTCTTCAGGCCAGGTGTAAAAAGTGTTACCACGTTATCCTTATTCAGTGCATGTGATCTGCGTGGTCACATTTCCCAACAGATCGGTAGCTGCTTTTTCCTGATGTGTTGTACTACAACTCCCGTTGACAGCCAACATTGCCATGCAGGCAGCTGCTGATGGAAGTTACAGTCTAACCTTTTGACAGCACTGCATGTACAGAACCGGAGTCGATAAATCTTTGGCTATTGGGTCTCATAGGAATGAAATTAATAATTCAACAGATTGAGTTCAATGTAAGAATCATCATTTACATTTCCACTTACACAGATAAAAGCTTGGGAAAGTGTCAGTCACACTAACATTTCCATGTGTAATTGGGCTGGTATCTTATTTAATGTAATTGCCTACCTTGCAATTAAGTCTTAGAGCAGCCTGTACTGTTTCACTGGCTTTAGAAGGGAAAAGCTAGAAATATGAATTTTTAAACTGTTGACTCTGCTGCAGTGTATTTATTCTGCTGCAGTTTACTCTCGTGCACTCTCTCTGCCTTTTTGGTATAATTTAATGGTCTTCGTTAACAGACATGTTAAAGACATTAATTCAGTCAATAAATAGAACATGACAACTTTACAACTATTTATACTGTTTTCTAGAGCTGATGCATGCAATTTCTTTTCAGTTGCCAACATGGTGATCCAAAAATATTCTAGCATGTAAATTAAATGTGTGACAAAGTTGGATTTCTGAAGGTCCATAAGTTCTCTGGATGGAGCAATTATTGCCGCACGCAGAGTTTAGAAAGGCCACCCAGATGTCTTTCCTGTTTTGGTTGTTTGGGTTCCTGGCATGCTGATTTGTGACTTAAGATTAAAATCACATTGCCAGGGATTACCACATAACCTTGACATTGGCTTCTGTGACTGAGTCTGTAAGGGCAGTCTTACGCGCCTACTGCTGGAACCGCATGAATCAACCAACCCTAAAATGCACAAATGAATTCCTGAAGGATTTCAGCTGCCATTTTATCTATGTTCAGAGGAAGACCTCTCTAGTGAGGTGCAGAGCTTAGCTGATTGGTGAACAGTGATTGATTTCCTCTTTGTTCACAGTGGCTAAGTTCTGCACCTGAAGAGAAGTTGAGATGGAAACTTTCTTAAACTGTCAGAGAGTTCAATTGTTGCTGCTGTGATGGTATAATGGAATCTAGTTTCTAGATCGCAACAGATGAAGAAGCCCTGAAAAAAGATTCAAACACGACACTTTGCTTCCTCCTGTCAAGAATGAAAAAAATCCACTTAAGAAAACATCCTTGTATTGAAGTAATCAGTAAATGTGAAAGTTTGTGTCTTTGTTTTTCGTGGCACTTAGCTAATGTATTGTTAAAAGTACTTTAAAGATGGTTTGTCACTCTTCAATGAAAGCAGTCCTGTTGTGTCTGAATTTGCAGCTTAGCAGTGTGTTATTGCTGATGATATATGGTTTTGTTTTTATTCTCACTGGAGCTGCCCCCTGCAGCGGTTGCTGTTCCAGGCTGTCGATGGACCCGTCCTCCGGTGCCTACTGAGCTGATATCAGTTCTGATTTTACATACTGGCTCAGTTCAGCAGGAACAGGAGTCGAGCCCTAAAGCAAAAAGGCTTCTTTACTAAGTACACAGACGTCGGTGAAAACCTAAGTCTTACTTCATACCTGAAAACAGAGCTAAAACAGACTGCTGCTTTGATGTGGATCACAAATCCTTACATGGACTACATACCACGGTCTTGCAGAAGAGCCAGTAGCTTGGCCAGTGGGTGGGTGAGATGATAAGGTATGTGTAGGCTGTGTCCAGTTATAAAGACTCAAGGAGAAAATGTAATGTAGTATTTCAAATACTTCATTCTTCTGCCTTTCAACTTACTAGCCACTATTTCCAGAAAAAAGAGCAATGCAGCTCTTTTGCTGATGTTTCTAATTAAATATGCTTTTAAGGAAGCTGCTCCAGTGATCACATAATTCTCGTACCTCCTATGCAGTTCTGGTGGGACTTTTCTGTTATGGAATGCTAGACCCTACTGTCTTCTCAAATTGCATTCTGTCATGACAAGAGCATATGACATTCACATGAATATCAGGTTCTAGTTGTTGATTTGCCTCTACTGCATGTATTCAAGGAAAATTAGATTGACGGAGATGCCTTCTTTCAAGAAGCAGGGCAGGAAAGAATAGCCATCTCTTCTAACTCAAGCATGTTTTTATGAGCATATTTTCATTGTCTGAGCAATAAGTTTTTCTACTGTTTCCTTTGCAGGAAAGATCAGAGACTTTTAAATATATCTGCTACCAAACGCTGGTGGTGCTAGGATTTCACTGACCCTGGACATCAAAGGAAGGATTATGTGACCACTAAAACAATCAGCTGACAAACATTTTACCCCAGTATTTCTTTTTCAGAGGGTTCTGGCAATCAAAATAATAATAAAACCTCCTATAGTCTCTCATTCCCGCAACTGTCTGTGACTCCAGTGCACTGCCTAGCATTAGCTCACTGATGACGTTCATTGTTAGCAAGATTTGTTCTGTAAGTTAAGGCAGCTCTGTATAATAGGGGCCATTGGCAAGTGAAAATAAACCAGAAAGCACTCATGCCTTTTTCTGAATAGACATTTTGGGCTCACTTAAAATTGGTTGCTACACTCGGATATGCTGGCCCAATTTAAGTTGGTCTCAATTATTAGTTAATCTAAATCCTGGAATTCTTTAAACATCTGTATTATATTTTTGAATATGGAGATGGGAGAAAAATTAAATTAACCCACGGACATAAGAAAATTGCATTATTATATATGCCCTACTCTGTGTAAACTACTGAACAGAACATTAACTCCAGTATAAAGTACAGTTTACTTCAATGTAAAATACATTGCTGGGAATGAAACTGATCCTGCTAAAATCCCAGCAGATTTAGAAGCCCTTTCTTTGTAACAGTGGCAGTGATTTCTACAAATAAATTGTTTCTGTAGATGTGTGTGGTGTAACTTATTTAACTGTATGTAAGACATTTAGAGTTATAAACAGTATCGAGTTCCATCTTCTCCTTTGTAGTTTGTTTCAAGATAATAAGTACAAAAGAAATGAGAGCGTTCATAGCCCTTCCAGCTGTGCAAAAGCTGAAGCCCTGTTCCTGCTTAACTGGCATAAGGGGTGCTTGCCCTTGGCCCATGCACCCACAGGCGGAGCTGTGCCTCCTAAGCCAACCTGCCTTTCTGAAGCTCTTAATTAGCTAAATTATGCTTTGTCAGTAGTCTTAACTTGAGTCTTCCAACTTCAGGACAAACTTGGACTTTGCATGACATCATACTGAGTTGTAGCAGTGGCTGATAATAGAACCTTTTGATGTATTCAAGCACAAGCTATTCATGAAGGAAGTTATGCTCCATTTCACAGGGTTCTGCAGAGAATAATGAAGGGATGTATGCATGATTGCTGAAACAGGCAAAAGCTGCTAAGGAGACTTAAACAGTAGAATAGCAACTATTTGGTACTGCATGTGCAAAAGATACTTTATTTAACCTTGTGATTTATGGCTGTTTTGATTTGTTAACTGTAAGTTAGTTATATATTCAAGAATCTGTTTACACATATCCCAATATGCAGCTTACCAGCATAGTGAAAAGCCCAACAAACAAAGACACACATTGCTAACACCATCTTGTTCAATGCTCATATTTGGTTCCATTTTAATGTCAAAGGACATCAGACAAGCTTGGTGTTGTCAGTGACATACTTCCAGAAGCCATCATCGAATCTAAATTTGAAATGTATTAAATACCAAAATATTTTATTTTTCTTATTTTAATTTCTGTTCCCAAATATGTTCGCTTTTCCAGGTGGGAACAGTGTGCCAACTTTTATTTTGACAGAGCAGGTTCAGTTGTAGCATTCCTAACTCTACTAATGCAGAACAAATGGAAGTTTGCAGTTTATCTAGACAGGGTTTAGTGCATTTTTCCAAAGTTCAGCAGATGGTTTCAGATACAGAAAGCGCGCAGTCCTCCTTTCACAATTGCAAGCAAATTGTGCAACAGAGAGGACATCAAGCCTTGATGGCTCAGATCTGTATGAAGTGCTACCTCAGCTCATGAACGCCTCAGTTCATGACCAAATTGGGTCACAAACAGAAATTTCAGAAAAATTTTGCCTCGGGTCACGAACTCTGCATTGGGTGATGATTGTGATCACGCCTGTCTTCCCTGCAGGGAACATGGGCGTGATCACGGTCATGCTCGGGGGGGGGGAAGAGGGGGAGATGGTCATGATCTTCGTCACTTTGCTTCAAATTTTTGTGATTAAAAAAAAGTTACAGAATGGATTAACCTTCTTTACGTTCAACCTTATGGGGAAATTTGATTTGGCTCGTGACCAATTTGGTTTGCGACCAAAGTCATGGAGCGGATTAAGTTCGTGAGCCAAGGTACCACTGTACTATGCTTTGCTATACCGAACTGACCATAAAAGATAAATGTGAGAATTGTCCCAAGGTAATTGAATGTCGGGCACATTAGCTTTGCTTTCCTACACAGTGAGAAAAGGAAGACTCCCAATGGTGGAAAACTTGCAAAAAGTTTCAAGTTCAACCTCTGGCATCCCCAGACCAAGCTAGGGAAGTCACACTGTCTGAAGCCCCAAAGAGCTGAACTACACGGACCAATAGTATCAATAAGAATAAGTTATAACAAAAACGTAAATCAATAAAAAGCAGTAACGCCACCAGCAAGTTAAAACACCATTCAAAACTGAGTTTAAATGTGCAAGGCATCTGAGGAAAAGCATTTCATCTCCAGACGGAGGATAACCATGGAGAAGCCAGCCTGGCCTGCCTTGGCTGTTAACTCTTAAGGCCTGGCTGCAGCCACCGACAAATCTCTTCCTCCCATTCCCATTGTATGGGGCCTCTGCTGCTCCACTAGCAATCTTAAAATCTGAGCAGGCTCATATATGATGCTTCATGAATTAGAGAGATGCTCAAGAACAGTAATCGGCAATCCAGCAAAATAGGGCTGATCTTGCCAGATCCTGTTGCCCCACATCTTATTTCAGTGCAATAAAAATAAGTTTGAGTTTGCTTCTCTATTTCCAGTTTGAATAATCACTTGACTTACAGTAAGTGCTATGTTAAATTATCACAGGCTTCTCTGTCATTGCCATTTGGTCTCATTTTCTCTCTGTCATGCATGAGTGCGTGGGCACACACATGCGCCTGATGAGAATAACAGTTCAAACATCTGATGCAGTGGACTCTCACTTACCAATGTGCACGCTGCGATAAAACTGCTGGCTTCCAAGATGCCACAACATCCATGCTATACCGGGGTCGGCAACCTTTAACACTCAAAAAGCCATTTGGACCTGTTTCCCACACAAAAGAAAACACCGGGAGCCGCAAAACCCTTTTGACATCTAAAATGAAGATAACACTGCATATATCGTTTTTTACCTTAATGCTATGTATAGCTTCATTATGATTTCTCTGCAGCTCTTGTTCAGTCACTAAAAACTGTTATTTTTAATCTTACATTATAAACTAGGACTCCTTTCATATATTTTGAATAGGAGAACAGCTTTCTGCAGAGTCAAAGTCAGTGCTAAAGGGCTGAATGCATTAAACAGCAAACCCCATAAGTTCATCAGCAGTAGAAGCAAATGAATCTACCCATGTACCATTAAATGTTAGGTTTTCTTCAGAAACTTTTCTTCGATTTATCCATGGTTGGCCTATGGTGGGGGGGCAGGGGAGCTCAGTAAATCGGCCCAGATCTGGGCGGAGGCTGTGCCAGAGATATAGGTGTGTTTAGTGACTGATTAGCAGATAAACAGTCAAGTGCTGTGAATTGTGACAGGTCCCAAGCACAGCTTTTAACATTCAGATGAAGGAGATTACATTGGGACAAAGAGAATCCTTTCAGCAGCATTTCGTGTAACGAGATCCTGCAAGAAGCTTGTTTAGCAGAGGAATGTAGCAATTTAGTTAACTAGCTAGCCCTGCGTTCCTGAGTGGAGCTTCGAGCAGATCAGCGGCTGCGCCGGCACGTGTTTTGAGCAACGGAGCCACAGCAGAGGGGTTCAAGAGCCACATGCGGCTCCAGAGCTGCGGGTTGCCAACCCCTGTGCTATACCATACCAACATGATTAGAAAATATGTTCACTTTCCTGTGTTTCCTATGTCAAACAGGTTATCATCTGCTATAGCAGCCTACCCCAACCCAGTGTTCTCTCTGTAGTTTTGGACTGCAACCCCCATCATTCCATGCTAGCTTGGACTAGTGTGAACTGAAATTCAAAACATCTGAAGAGCATCATGTTGGGAGGCTGTTCTGCAGTGTATCCTGGTTGAACTAAGTGCGCTGCTTTAGAAGTTTCATTCAACTTAACTGAACGTCTTTCCTATTGATACTGAACAGGACTGCAGACTTTTAGATTTCTGATTTTCACTTCACAAGACCCATATGCTGTTCTAACAGTGAAGCTTGATTGATGTCTAGGATACAGATAAGAACTGTAACAGAGAGGAAAAATTCTAGGCATATAAGCAAATTGTTCATTCTCTTACAAAAAAAAGTGTTGAAAAAGTTCTTTTCAGTAAAATGCTGCAATAAACACCTGAAATTTCAGTTGTCTGGCTTTTCTCCATAGGAATGGAGAACACGCTGCACTGAATCGGACAGAGCCTTGCTTCATCGAACCTAGTCCTGCTAACACTGCGCAGTAGGAGCTCTTCACGGTTTCAAGTGGGGTTCTTTCCCACCCTCCCTCGGAGAAGTCCCAGATTGCGTCTGGGACCTTCTGGGCACAAAGCATGTGCAGCAATGGCTTAGTCTCCAATAGCAGCTGAAGCGCCAGGTCATTTCTTAGAAAAGATATGAAGATGTGCTCAGGATTCACAAGGAATTAGTAAGGTAGTACCTCCAAACATAGAACTGCTCTTGGGGAAACTGGAGAAACCCCCAACTGATTCAAATGAGTTCCAATTTCTATACATTCAATGTGTGCATTCTGAAGCAGGCTGGCTTTTGGTGGATCAAGCAGATTTTTTCTTTTTAATGGAGAGGGCCTAAGTGCACATTTGCAAATGAATTTCCTCCCCAAGACCAAATCCATTCAGTGAAAGACACCCAAAAAGTTGTGAAATGCAGCCAAAACATTAAAAAAAAAATCCATACATACCTCACTGCTGTTTAGAAATGCACAACAGTGTTTGGAGGAATAGCTGCCACTCTTTCTCCCACTCTTTTTAGTTGCTGAAATTAATTGGCTAATAAAGAATAATAAAGAGAACAATTGTGTTTAAAGCAAAACAAGCCAAAAGGAAAATTAAAGTTAACAGGCTAAAAGCCAAATCCTCAGCAATAATGAACTCACCAAATTGTTTTCTTTTACTCTCACAGTACTTAAATTATTATTTAAAGCAAAAAGATTGCTTGGTAGAAGCTGTACTACTGAAGCTTTGCCTCTGCCAGTTGAAAGTAGTCCAAGGTGTTTTAGGTTGCTCCTTTTATTTTTTCTTTTTGGTAGATGGAGGTGAGAGACTTCAGTCTTCACCGAAGTTGGCTGTACAGTGTTGACCATTAAAAGAACCCAGTCAGATTGAGTACACTTAAGCCCTTCAGAAAGCGGCTCTAGAGATTTTAATGCCTTTTATATAGTTAGACAGATGGCAGGAGGAAGATAGCCAGAATAAGCAAGGGAAACTCCTTTCTGGCATTTGCTCTCAAAGGGACCACCCCAATGCAAATTCCCAGAATCAATGCTAAGGTAACATTCATAATTGCAACCATGAGCATGCCTTCTGAAAAGTTCAGGCAAGCACTTGAAAGGAAAAAATACACCCGTTTTCAAGGTGTTAGCCACCTTGGTAGGTGGACTTAAACAGAGCCATATGTTGATGTTACTGCAGATTATTAGCACTTGAAGCACCTGCCAATATGCTGTATCCTACCTTGCTGAAGGCTGCATTGTTCAGAACACATCTAGATCGCTAGCTACGCCATGGAGCCATGCACACGCACGCACACAGTAACGAATGGTACCTTTGCTAAAAGGAACTGGAAAGGACTTTTCTAATCAATACTTTGAAATATCAGCGAGCTTCTGTAAAAGAACATGCTGAAATAGTCAAACTATGCAAAATAAATGCACTTCTGTAAGCAGCTTATGACTTGAATGCATGACTGGGTGTAGCAGCTGCCAATTTGGCTACATTACCTAGCCAGGGTGGGAGAAATCCTGTGTTCCTCCAGCTTGACCTAGACATTGTGGGAAGCAACTTGCCCCTAGGATTACACGGACTAATTGCCAGAAGACGGCAGAACAGCATCAGGACTGTTTCAATGGGCTAGAAATCAGGCAGCAGCGCACACACACACACTCTTTCCCCCCAGATACAAGTCTGTGGGCTAGTACAGAGGGCAGAACGGCCAGGCTGGCATACACAGAACACTGCCAGCCAAGCACCCCTTATCTTTCACTGTTCATGGTCTGAAGTCAGCTATATGCCCCTCCCTTTATAAAGCTATGCCCTGCAAATAATTCCCTCGTTCCAGAAGTACGTTGGTGTAAAAGTTTCGGTACCCACATTTGGGGGCAGGTCTTCAGTGGAAAGCCTATAAAATAAACTCAGAAATGAATAAACATCTGAGTGTGGACTTTCTGGGAAGTATGCCTTTTCTGTAAACAAAAAACGTGACAGGCTTCCAGATGGGCTTCTACTATTTCTCCCCACTGAGGGCTAAGCTGAAAAGTTGGGAACATTATGACCTCAGTGCATATAACTACACGCACTGTGACTGGTATGGTGCAGAGTGTTTTGCTGTGGAGAAGTCAAAACACATTTCTGAACTGCACAAGTTTTTTCTTGGTGTTCAAAGGAGATCTGCAGTCTGTACAACCCCAACAAAAGTGTACTTGCTAACTAACGCTGCTTTGGCAAAATATGAAGTCTGCTTCATTCTGAGTGTGGAAAAAAAATGGGAAGAAATACAAAGAGGTAACTGGTCTGATGCAGGCATTTACTTCAAAACGAATGATGAACAATTACTTGCTTGTGATGAGGCTTAAACCCTACAAATCAGCATATCAGAAACAAGCAACTCTATTCAATGGGAAGCCTGTCAATAAGCCATGGAACTTTAAAAACATCCTCTAGGGAGGCAAAGGAGGAAAAGATTATTTCAATCAATGTGCTGAGAACACTTTAGATTTACAAGCATTTAAGATCCATAAGAAAAATTCTTCAGTACAATCATGTTTTGTTTTCAGCCTTAGGATGCAGCGTCCAAGACTGAATTAACAAGAATAAGGCACTTCTAAGCCACAGCTGGTCCTGACCAGTGTATGACTTGAGAAAATCCAGTTACATGCTCAGAAGGATCACTTGCCATTTATTTGTACAGCACAGCCAGCGGGGACAGCGCATGGCCAACAAACCAAGCAGCCAGGCTCGGGCAACATGGCGAGTCACCCCCAACTGACAAGCATATTGTGTTGCATGATCCCAGTCATAACCAGGCATAGACCTTTTTTCAGAATTGACAAAATGGAAAAAGGCTGAATACTTTCTTTCCACTCAATGGTTCTGATTAGTTGGTCTGATTACTGGGTCAAAGTGAATATCAATATGAAAACTCAGTCTCGCAGTTTAGTTTCTGGAGAAGATCATTTGCCACTTTTAAAGTCCTTTGGTATTTCACTCCAAGTTGTCTAACTCGATTTGAAAGGCGGATAAGAAGGGCTTTCACTTCCGGGATTTCATGGCCCCCAATTACAAACTGAAAAAAGAAGGGAAAAACAGATTTTTTTTCAGTGCTTTGCTTTCTGACAAAGGCAAATATGTTTGCTATGCCTTGCAGAAAGCTACAAAGCTTACCAGGTGAAATTCTTTTTGACTAAACACAAATCAAAATGGCTAGTACATTCAGAAAAACCATTGGGGATGGGGGAGTGCTGTTAATTAGGTGCCAGGACTCAACCTGCCTGAAATTTGTGCCCTCTGATTTGGAAGGGGAAGTTACTAATCCCTGCTTGTATGAAGGGAAAATAGTTCTAGTTTCTCAGCAAAAAACAAAAGGCTTTCTACTCTTCATTACTACATAATATTTTCCAGTTGAGCCAGTACTGCAGTGGAGGCATGGCTGAACTACCAGAAGTTGTCAATTGCCGTGGATGATGGCACCTCTCCTTCTGTTCTCTAAGGTCTCCTGTTCCTCTAAGTTTAGTTGCAAGCCTCATAATCACTGGGGGGAAATCCAAAGCATAGGGCCTCTTTATGGGAGTCCCCATAACCGTGTCCCCAAGGTGATCTTTTGGGTGATTCCGCCCCCGCCAGCAGCTGACAAAGAGGAACTGCTAGCAGTTGCCTGCCTTCTTGAAAGGTAATGATCCAGTAGCCAGGCCCAGAAGGAAAGTCCAAAAAATTCAGGCAGCTGTCTTGATCCATCAACAAATCAGTTCTAACCAGTTATCTCCAGCAGGAGCTGGTCTTTAGTCAAACAAATGGGTCCTAATTGCCTATTCAAACTACCCAAAAGCTGTGCATTACAATAGGGTGTAGCTCCCAACAGTTCCTTAAAAAACCACTGCATCCCTAGGCTGAACACCAGGAGAAAACAAGTTGTGATCCCAGTAAAATTAAATCCCAAAGCAACTCCAGGCAACAGAACTATATTTGGACATAATGCTTCTCTACTTAACGAGACCACAATCATCTATTCAGTACTGCTCAAACAGAACAAACTGACCTATTTCTTGCTTATGATGAAGATGACACTGAGCAAAGCTCACCAAAATCATTTTGTTTGTCTTTAAGATGCCAGAAAACCTTTTGTTGTTTTTGCTGCTAAAGACTCTGGAAATCAATCATCTTTTGTTCAGTATTGATAAAGTTCACATATAACAGCGGCACATGATGCTATTTCTTTAAATATACAGCCTCTTATTGGCCCGACTGGAGGTTGCTCCATGATGTCTGGCCACTATGGGCTAATCAACAACCCAAAGTTAATCTTCAATTAGTAGTCAGATTAACTTTAGGTCAATCAGAGGGCACATATTGAAAAAGTTCACAGCATGTGTCAGGGCAAATTCTAGGATTCACATATTAACAGCGCAACCAGGTCCGAGGAGGCCAGAAAGGCCATCGATTCCACCCTCCTGCTAGTGCAAGATGCCAGCTAATGTGACCAGGGCCATCCTTTTCGAGGGCAGCCCACATGCTAGCATCCCTATACTGGACTGGAAAAACATGGCATCCAACCCAACAAATGTGTCCATAGGGCTGAGGCACACGGACCATCACTCAACATTAGGGCCAAAACATTGCAGAATTAAAATTATAAAATGTATGCAAAGGTAAGATTAAGGTATGGAAGACACCTGCAGAAGTCTGTCCTCACATGCCTGGCAAAACAGACCCACTGATTTCACAGACTGTGATGTTTTCCTCCTCAATCCTCCCTTACCAAAACTGAATTAGTAAACGCTACTCAGGAAAGCAGATAAGACTCAAAACTGCTGAGAGTAACATGCACCTTCCCTCAGAAGGAAGGCTGCTGAAGACAAGATAGGGCCTATTCCATGATGCATGCCCGGGGGGGGGGGGGCCGGGAATGCTATTTACTAGCCATGGCAGGGTTCTCTCAAACTCCCTCAGGTATGGAAAGACCAGGAAGAAGATAAGAGTAGCAATGCTTGGTCCCCCGTGTCCAGTGACCATGTAAAGGAGCCTTTTGTGTGTACAGATGAGTACAGATGTTTCTCCTACATTCAGGGGAGTATCTTCCTTCCACCCACCATGATGTGGATGAGGAATGTGGATCCATGCTCAGCTGAGAAGCTCATGGCTGTGGTGGGGGGGTATCACTGATGCTCAGGGCTGATGGGGCTACTCATCTGAGGTAGAACAGACATTCTTGAAATCAGATGAAGGCTCAACAGCATTTGAAGCTAGCCTTCTGGGAAAACACATGCTCTTTCAAGGATAGGGCAATCAACTTTCCCCCACGGTAACTCCCCTTCTTTTTCTTCCAGCCATGGCAGATTAAAAACTCGAACACGGTCAAAAAACAGGGCTTGAACAAGCCATCAGGTGGCACTTTGCCTGCTTTGTGAGAGGCACCTGGACAAGGATTTTGGTCTGTTTGTTCTTAGGCTGGAGTGCCTATATCAAGAACCCCCGAGACTTCTACGAAAAGTCCATTTTGGGTAAAGGGTAAAAGTCCATTCTGCACCTTGGAAAGTATCTGCATGAAGAACAATTTGGGGTTGATTTGCAACTCCTCTAATAACGCTTGGGACCAGCCCAGCCCTTGGAGCGGGGCTTGATCTTCTGTCTTTTCCATCCTTTGAGGGGCTCCTTACATGGGGGCCTGGAAGGGGACGACACCTCTGAGCCATGGTACAGCACTCGGGTCCTCAGATCAAGCCAAGCAGGGGGATGGCGTATCGGCGCTTGCGTGGTGTGCCATCCCCACATCAAGGATGCGAACCACCTTTGACACAGAGCCCGGTTCAAGTCGGAGGAATGGAAAAGCTGCATGCAGCTCCACTAGTGCTTGCTGGAACCCTTTTCTTTTCAAAACAAATTTTATTGTTTTCACAACACCGGGCAGCATTTTCTTGTCCTGCCCTGAGGACAAAGGAGCAGGCGAGTTCATATGTCCCCTCCACACACAAGCAGGGTGGAAGAAGAAAAATAAGGAAGCTCCACCCAGTGGGGGCACCTGCATGGAGCTTGGTGAGCACAAAACCTGCAATTCCTTTCTTTCTCTCTAGCTTGTGGCACAACTGTGCTGTGTGAGCAAAGAAAGCAGAGTAAGAACAACTTGTTCTAAAGAATTCAAGGCTATGGGAATAGTCAGAGTCCTTTCCTCTTGGAGAGAAGGCAATCGATGGTTGGTCTTGCATCCTAACTAGCCAGAAGTGGTCAACCCAAAGGATAATGAATACCCTTCTCCCTGAGCACAACTGTATGCACTGACTTTGCTCCAAAGGAAGGGAGCTTGCAGTTATTTATGTACGCTATAGAAAGGATTTTTTGTAATTTATTTCCCCCTTCAGTATTTTTCAGCTGAGTAGCAATCCCTGCACTAAAATTTTAATGAGGATGTGCTGGGATACACATCCTTTTCCTCTGCCCTGCTGTGTGACACAGAGACTGTAACCCACATACACAGTGCACACACAGGGAACTTAATTCAGTTCACTGTGCCACACCGGATTTGCAATAAACATTTTGCTCCCAGTAAAACAAAAGAAAATGTGCTTACATGAACAGTAAATTCTTTGGCTATTGCGTGTCCACCAGGAATGAAGAGCAGAAAACTAATAATCAGATGCATAACCAGGTGTTTGATGCCTTCCTGCCTTATGTTCATTTTGCCAGTAACTATAGTCTGCAGATCTGTGATAGAAACAGCTGGCTTTCTTGAGAGAATTCTCAGATGGTCACATACAGATCTCACTTCCACCTGTTGAGAAACATTGCGTGAGACAAAGGTAAAACAAAAAAAAACGCAGAAGTCTCATTCATTTCATGTGATTTGCAGGAAAGCATACAATTGATCCCTTGCCCAATTAAGTGGGTGAGGGAGGGGAGAGAAACAGAAATTATTGGCCAGAAAATGAAAGACACAAAAGAAGCAGAAAAGAGATACAAAACAACAAGTGGTGAAAAAATCCTCTCTCTTTAAATCTTGAAAAATTAAGTACTAGGGGCTCTGAGCCAGGGTTTGACCTTTTTTGTATAAAAGGAAATCGTGAAAGTCACAGGGTAGAATGAAGGCAGATTGTTATATTGTGGGAAAAAGAACAGAAGGCTCTTTGAGGGCTCACTACAATACTGCAGCTACAAATCAATTAATCCCCATGCAATCTGACCTCCAGTGATAAAAATTCTGATATGAGCTGGGGGGTTGGTTTCCTTCTAGTACTGTTTGCCACACATTCCCTTCAGCGGCCAGAACAAACAGCTTCTGGAGGCAAAAGAGAAGTAGGATTCCAGGGACTATGAATGAAAGGAAATTATTGGCTGGATCCTAAGTAGTATTACCTAAAAATATTTGCTACATAAAAGGCACTGCAGGAAATGGGAAAAAAGAAGTAATACACATTTCCTTCCTGTCAACATTAACTTTGCTTTTAAGGGCACAATCCTATGCATGTTTGATGGAAAAAAGCCTACAACCCCAAGCATTTTAATCTGCCCAGACACTCATAGGATTGTGCCTAAGCAATGGAGTTCCTTATGAGAATTTCCCAGTTTGATTTATAAACATATGTCCTGGTTTAGAGCTTTCTATGCCCTGTATATCCCATTTTCTATGTGATAAAAATGATTGTTGATGGACCACTATTAGTATACAGAGCCTAATCCTAGCAACTATCCCAAATGTTCAGGGCAGCACCTGGATTTAGCGCAAAGGCTAAAACGATGGGTGTGTGCACTGCAACCCCGGCACTCCTCTCTTGTTCTTGGAGGGCACAACTATGCCCAAAAAAGGGCACTGGGACAGGTGAGCTGAGACAAAGGCAAGAAAAGCATCGGTCTGCTGGGTCCTTATGGTGGCCAGATAAACAGCACTAGCCATTCACAGTGGGAAGAATGCATGCCACCACTGCTCCCTAACAAGAGGCGTATCTGATTTCACTCTTCTTTGTAGTACGCCTTTCCTGTAAAAAGCTCCCTGAAGTCAGAAACACAGATAGCTGCCTTAAATTCAGTCAAACCCTTGGACCATCTGGCCCAGTACTGCCTACACTGACAGGCAGCAGCTCTCCAGGGCTTCCAGCAGGATTTTTCCCAGCTGTACCTTGGGATGCTAGCAATGGAACCTGGGACCTTCTGCCGGCAAAGCGGGCACTCTGCCACTAGACTGCAGCAAATGATTATGCGAGACACCAACTAATTTCCTATCTAGGAATCTTACAGAACCAGATCCACAAAATGCGATGCGAACGTGAACGGAGACTGCGTGGACACTCTTTGCTATCATGACTCCGGGTCAGGGGTTGGCAAGGCTGGGCACTTTCCAAGTCCGCACCCACAGCCAGATGTCCCCTGTGAACCCCCAGAGTCCCCCGAGATTGCCCCTCCTCTTGCTGTCTCTGCCTGTGTGGCTGCCCCTCCTTCACAAAGCAAGCGGTGATGTGAGCAAAGAGGAAGGGCAGAGCCTCACCCTCTGAGCAGAGCCTTGTTCAGCAGTGATTTTGACACGAGGGACAGGCCCAGCAAGCACACAGAAGCAACAGGGGCAAGGAAGATGGGGGAGGGGCACTCAGGGTTGGGTGCCCACTGGAGGCATCTGGCCCAGACTTTCCCCCACCTCCAAAACCTGCAGCCAGTTCGATGAAGCTCATCTGCTTGCCTCATTGAGGCTAGATCCTATCCATAATAGGGCTTGACTCTTAGAAAGTAAGGTATGGTTTTTCAAACTTACTCCAGCTTGCTTAAAAGCCATATTGAATTGTTCAACTTTTTCAAATAACAAATTAAATCAAATTACTAAAATTAGCCTTGATGGAGACCACCTTATCTGAAGGTGCTCCATTGAGACCAATCAGACAATACAGAGGTTCAGTGGACTACATCACTTCTGGGTCTATTCCTGTCTTGGAAACACATACAAAAGTCATGCAGAGTCTACATAGCACCTTGCAGCCTATTTAATGGCTGCAGCTGCAAGCTCCCCCTTTTGCCTGCTGAAGGGTTAAACACACTTCTTCCCTCTGTGGAAACTGCTGCAGACATCAAACACTTAAGAGGATTTTTTTTAAAAAATATTCTTTTATCCTGAATTTGTCAGGCATCTGTTTTGCAACTGGAGAAAAAGAAGTGTGGGAGGAATGGGAGAGTATTTACTGGAAGGGGTCAAGTCAGGACATGAGCGGTTACACAAATTAAAGGTGTAAACAGAACCCCTGGCAGCTTTTTAATGAAAGAGGACTCAGGAAATAAGGAAGTGACAATTAAAATTTCCAGATGTCACTATTATTTTGTGGTACCCATACCCGATGTGCCATTTTCCACCAACGGAAGACCACCTTTGAGTCTCTCAGCATGTTTGACTGCTTCCACTATTTATTCCAGCCCCAGTGTTAACAGCCGTATCATTTACATGCTGCAGTGCAGTGAAGCTGCTTCTGCCCAGACACCTTCGCGTACATTCTCCAATTTGAACAAAGCACGGAGGACATGCCGAGGCATCCATGAATGCGGAGCTTCAGTGTGGTGCGCACCAGTCCAGGGAGAAGCTCGCAGCTAGGCAAGAGAAGTGTCACCACTCAGCAGCTCACCTGAGACCTGGCTGCAGTGCTGGGATCCCCGCTTGCTGCCTTCTGGCAGTGAACCCCCTACAACCTTAGCTACCAGTGTGCTGCCAGCTTGCTGAAGAATGGGACAGAACTGAATGGACAGGAACTGCTGCATGAGGGGATTCACTGCCCTGGAGCAGCCTTCTCCACCAGGGTGCCCTTCAGGTGTGTTGGAGTGCGGCTCCTATGCTGGCGTGGGATTAGTGGCGTTGCACAAACCGTTGGTGCAAGGAGGGGAAGGCCGCCCTAGAGAGATGCCAAATGTTGGACAGGGTAGAATTGTATAGCTGTAATTATATTTCCATGACCCTTAAAAGAAAAGATGCCTTGTGGATCTTTCTGGATCAAAAGAACAGGAATCTACAAATAAATACTAACATCTTCCTGTTCTTTATATGAAAAGGCTACATGGCAGTAAATCAAAGTCAGAGTGCCAGGAAGTGGCTGGAAGTTACTTTGGCATAAGATCAATATGACCTCTGAAAGCACAGCTAGACAGGTAGGGTTAAGTTCAATTCATTGATGAACACTCTTGTTACTTTCACCCAAGTTTTAAACACATGGTCATGGTGAGGCTGTCCAATGCTATGAAATCTTGTCACCAGTCTTGTCAACAACTGGCACTGGACAAAGTCGGCTGCTGAGAAACACCTGTGTACTGTCTACTGTATGATAAATTGACCACTGATATTTCACTCACTCACCCTACTGACAATCCAGTCCTAAAAGCTATTGTTATTTTACCCTAAAGAGGCTACCATAGAGTTCCTGTCACCTGCAAAATACTTAATAAAAAGATTTATAAATGGAAATTTCAGCAGCAGGAATACCTTAGGGCACATTTCCATACAGGTATACACAGAACGAAATTCTACCATTCCCAGGGAAATGGTTAGGAAATGCTGGGAATTGTAGGACTCTCTTCTGCCTAAGCCTTACAGAATTGTGCCTCAGCAATTATCTCTACCTCCTCCTACAAGCATTCTCTGCAGCAGAGGCAGGAAACCTGGTCCACACTGAAGGTCAAACTCAGTTTTTGAGATGCTGTCAGGAACTGCATTCCCATGGTGGGTGCGGTTGAAGGCGAAGGAGGAAGGGCCATAAAGAAGAAGAAAAAATGCTGCACGTTGTAGTTAAGAGGCCTGTAACTAAACCTGAGGAAAGGCCTTCACCTACAGAAAATGGAAATCATCAAACAATCAGTGATTGGAAGAAAGAGGGAGGAACCCAAGGAATACAGCCTGGCCATCTGCAGAATTCCAGGTGAGTCTGGTTCCCAGCCCAGAGGATTGGCCATCCCTGCAAAACAGGCTTTTCCGTTTCAGTGCATCACTTTTCAAACATGTTACGGAGTACTGAATGTTCATGTACATAATTACTCACCATTGTTTGCGTTCTCTGCTGATTCTCATCACTAGGATTATAGTAAAATGCCAGAAGCCAAAGCAAGGCATCTGAGGATTCAGCTTGTGACACCAGCAACTCTTCTGCTGCAACATCGACCCATTCTCCAAAATGAAGGAACAAAAACCAGTTCTCAAAAAGGTCACTACAAGACCTGGAACAGCATAAAGACACCTTTCAAATTTTCTATCTGTTATAACTGTAAATTTCAATCAAAGGTTCGCAAAAGGAGCTGGTTTGGAAGTGCTGAACTCTGCAAACCTTTACCAGCAGGAGAAGAATGACAATGACAGTGCAATGTATTTCCTACCAGGAAAAATTAATCATTTGAGCAAAGGGATTGTCTACCAATCTAATTTATATATAAATTAGAAAAACAGGAGATTGTTCACAAATACTTTAGACATTTTTCTATTTTGGGAACAATTTTGACACTGAAAACTAAACTCAGTCATACTTTTTCTTGGAGCTTTTTATGTTGCTAATGGGAATATTGTGTCTGAGAAGCTGGACACAATTTTAGTCCTTAAGGAAATTCCCCAGAAATTATTTGGGGGCTTAATCTGGGATATCACCAAGAGACAGATAACATTTAGCTCTACCTTTGGTTTCTATCCGCCTCAGAGTATTTTTCAGAAATTAAAAATTATTAACAGCACAATCTTATGGCCATCTAAACACAGTCTAGACAGCTACAGGATCAGAGACCCAGCTCCAACCTCAGAAGCCTCCTTCAAAGGTCAGAGCTGGAACTCCAAAACTCAGAATGCCCTCCAGCTCAGTCCTCAGAGCAGGTATGGAATGAAGCATGCTGGCTGTAGCTCCCAGGTTGTAGGGCGGATGGGTGCAGGGCAGATGGTATTCCAGACAGGTGCCACAATATCCTGGTGGCACCTCAGCCTCCTCTCTTCCTCTGTGAGGTGCAACACTTAGATGAAATTCTCATGCATTTTACAGCACTGCAGGAGCATGCCCATAAGCCTCCAAGTTCAGAGGGTTATGGGCAACCTCACTGGATTGCAATATAAGAATCCTAAACACAAGCAAAAATGAAGAGTTTAGGCCAGTGGCATAATGCCTATTGATGTTCCTGGTACTGGGTCTGAAAGCTTTCAGTCCAACCTGAAGACCCACACATGTGCTAGTATACATTTGAAGGTCCTATGTGGATAAGTTTCACATTTAAATTGAATGCAGTGAGTAGACAACTGCACATGCCACTCTTGTGTGTACAAGACATGAATCCACACTTCAGAGAATGAGGAAGCCCTTGTACACAAGGGTGTTTTACTAGACTGCAAGAAATTGCTGGATCGGGCTACCAATTTCTTCCATTTTGTACCTGATATACTTTTGACATTCTCTAAATAAAATTAAAAGCGGGGGGGGGGGGATAGAAATGGAAACCATAAGTGCTGCTGCTCACCTGATATCCTCAGCTTCTACTGTCGCTTTGAGTATTTCAGCAATGTGGTTCAAATGCTGATATAAACCAGCAGCTGGCAGATCTAAAAGATTAGCAGTAATCAAAGATACTTAGAACTGAATATGAAACTGTTCTATTTTTTGAAAAAACAGAAGAGAAAATGTTAACATAGTTGAAGATTTAGGCTGATTGACCTCAAACATAAACACAACTGCAGGGTCTAGCAATATGGAGAAGACTTCATAGGTGTTCTTACCTGAGGGGTGCTTAAGGAAAGCCATCACAAGTGAGTGTGGATTATTAGGAAAATACGCCTTCAGTGGAAATTTATGCTAAAAGGAACACAATAATTTCATATCATTAGAGTGTAAGAGCATACAAGAACCCAAGAACATAAATGGCTCACTTATGGCCCAATCCTTAGAATTTGCAACATCAGCAAACCTATCAAGAAACTTGCAAACCCTGCTTAAGAAAAGAAGCAGCTGCAGTCTCAGAAAGCCATGAGTAGCAAAATGGCCCAAAGGGTTCCTCACCAGCTTTCAGAATCGGAATGTCAACCTATCTGCATAACAAGTTGCAGTCTAACGGAGCTGCATTTCAAAGCCTTCCAACCACATGCAGTAGCTATGGGATAAGACAAAATATCCTCTTAAGGATCAGTATCTGTTTCAGTAATAAGAAGCAGAAAGTAAAATGGACACTCCAGAACAGAAGAAAGTAAGGAATGGTGTCCCTGTAGACCTGTAGTGGAACCAGAAGTATTTAACTAATCCTAAATTATCTGCAATCAGGAGCAAACAGCAATTCAGCCAAGTCTGAAACATACAGCAGGATATTCGGGATAGTGAAATTCCTCCAGATTGGCAACAAACTGGAATGTGGTTCAATTTCAGGAAGTGCAGAGTGAAACAAATATTTCGATCATCTCACACTGCAGAATATGTAGACCAGGCCTAAAACACAACACACTTTTGAAAGTTTTCTGCCCTCTTGTAGTACAAGACATTAGGGTTACCTACCAAAATTGTTTAGGAATTGATCCAACACCCTTCTTTGCATTACACATAACTTATGGAATTCATTACCACAGCATCAATGGTGTGGTAATCACCTCCTTAACAAAAAAAGTTAATCTTGACATTGCAGATGACAGAAAGTAAAGAATAGTGGGATGGACAATTTCTCCATGCCTTCCATGTATGTTTCACGTGTGCCTGATTGCTATTGGAAGCAAAATGGTGAATTAGATGCCCTCTTGATCCCAACCAACTAAGGATTCCGGGTTTGCTTCAATTCATCTTTTAGTGCCACATATCAGTGCTGTGGATAGTCATGGACAGGAAATTCAAAAAGTAATATTATACCTATAAAACATACTCTCACCAAAAAGTTACTTATGTTATTAATAAGTGTACATTATACACATATATTTGGAAAAACTGAATATTCTGCAGACCTGAGCAACATAAAATAGTTGGACGAAACTCAAGACAGCGGGCAAAATCCACAGAGGCATGTCTGCCCCACCACATACGCAACGACACTTCAGCACTGCCAGGGCAGCCCAAATGAGCAGAAATGCTGGTTTCAGGAAGAAGTCAGATAAGTGGAAGTCACAAAGGCAGCCCCACTGACTGACTTCTTCCAGAAACCAGGGTTTCTGCTCATCTGGTGATTCCCTAGGAAACACTAGGTCTCCCTTACGTAAGCAGTGGGTCCTGCTTCTGCAACACAGTTGGCAGGGCCCACTGCCAATAGTTAGTAACTTATTACCAGTGTACTCTCTCCTTTTCTTCAAGCTGCTCAAGACAATCTACATGTTTCTCCCCATTTGTGCCACCATCTAGACAACTACCCAGTGAAGTAGGGTAGGATGAGAGACAGTGACTGGCCCAAGGTAGCCAGTGAGCTTTCTGGCTGAGTGAGGATTCAAGCCTGGGTCTCCACCATCTTGATCCAACACCTTAACTCACCTATGTGTGTGCACTTTTCTGCATCAATGACCAGCAAGGATCCCTTTGCATAACAAACGCAAATCTAAAATTTGTACACTCCCTCAGGCCAAGCACAGCAAGACAAAAAGAGGTGCACACTATTAAAGAATTGTAAGCACTCCTGCCAATCTACATACCAAACCAACACCCAAGTTCTTCTCTAATCATAACAGTGAACATGAAAAGGCCCAGTTAATTTTTTTTAAAGCACCTCAACAACAAAGCGCATAAATAACCTTTACAGCTCCATAGTTTGCTCCTGGCTATTTGAAGGGTGTGGGATCTTGATTTAAGTTCTCCACCCAGTCCCACCCACCAGCCTGAAGCTGCAAAATGTGCTCTTGCCATGTAAACAGAGCAGTATAAAATTGATGGGCGTGGCAGGTGTACATATTAACTCAGACAGCTGCAATTTCAACCCTAATTCATACCCTTTGAAAGTAAAAGAGAGATTTAATCGCAACGCTAATTAGAGTCAATTATGGCACTAGTTCCAGATGTAGATTCATCCTTTCATGAGGCAACAGTTCCCCAGAAAAGTGTGGAAATGACAAAGCAGCACCTGGGTGATCTGAAAAGAGAAACTGTTGAGCAGAAGAAAAGCTTGAAAGTATTACGGGGCACACAAATTAAGGATGTAGTCTATCAAGAACAGATACTTTAACTGTCTAAATCAAAAAAGAACGAACTTAATGGGACTGCAAATATTAAAAAAGAGCTACATAAAATTAGATACTATGTGAGGTTTAGACTGTCAGCTGAAGAACCAGGATTCACAAATCTCTATTATAGATTTTCTATGTCAAACTCAATGGCAGGGAAAAGGTCATTTAAACTCTAGGACAGATTTAAAAAATCTAAGAGGTGGGGGAGCAAAAGGGGACTGTATTTCTCCAGATCAATGTCTAGTAGGGATGCCTATGAATTATAAACAGACATCTAATCTTATTGCACCAATTCAGACCCAATTCAGATGTGTGCTGTAGAACAGCAAGACAAAAAGAACTGTCTGGACAGATCATTGTAATTATTATGTCATCTACTGCTCCAAAACTAATATGGGTTGAATAACTTGTGGATTGAAATAACTATATTGGCTTTCCGTATGCTTACATTTGACACTATTTAAAGACTCTCAAATTTATGAGGGCATCCATTTACCATAGCAGAAAAGTATTGTCTGGTTTATTATATTCTTCTAGCTTTCTGCAGGCTGACATTGTTGATTTTCTATTAAATTCTGAAACACCTTTTTTTTCAAAAAATGAGAAAAGAAAAATGGAACTCGACTAACCTGCTTATTATTCTCGTGGTAGGCTTGAACAAAGCACTGTGTAAACACCTGCATTACAGTCATTACTTCTGATGCTCCATCAGTTTCCAGCAGGGCATTCCTGAGCAGTGAAAAGTTTAATTATGACAGGTCAGATTATGAGTGTGCCAATCACACAGCCATTAATTGAGAGAAGGAAAAAAATTAATGAGGACATTCTTCCCATGCCTTGAGCTTTGGCCTTAACTCATCTAGCTATTATGCTAACTTGGGAAATGAAGGAAACATTGACTTCGTTTTGTCTCTCTTTGAATATGAAGACAGAAATACAGCATCATTGCTGTTAGAATAAATCTAAGGTCAACCTGACACTGGTAACATTATTTTTGGCAAGTGCAACCCTCCAGCTACAACTGTAAATACAGTACCTCATTATTAACAGAGATAACTTCTTAGATGTATCACACTCTAATGTGAGATTTTGAATGGGCAATTAACTCATCTTTCTGAGAAAAGCAATAACAGGAAAATGATAAACAGGTGTCTCAACTGTATTGTGATCCAAGGAAGCGTCAATCCTATTTTGGTGGAGTTGTTTGGTGCATCAAGAGACTCTCAAAAGCCACTGAGAAATTCCCCTGGCTCTAAATTAGCATGCTTTAATCCTCCTAATCCTCATTCTCCCCATTTTTAGTTATCATATTAATGCTACAGGCACACATTAGATATCAGTAACTCTTTGCATCAGACTTGTAAATCTATTGTGTTGTTTTTCTTCTCATTCTTCTTCGCCGTCTTGATTCATAACTTATTTAGTCTTTCCAAGTTTTCTTGCAAAAAACTGAAATTATCTTCTGAGAGATCTCAACATCTTGGGCATACTTGATTTGAGGTTGGAGGGTCCCTTCTGCTATTGCTGCTAGCTTCCACTTCCCTCCATCAAGAGCGAATGTTCATCATAGTGCCTGAATGAAGGGATAGAGTTTCCATGGCCAAGAAGAAATCCCCCCCCTTTTTTTTTTGATAAAAATTATTCTCAGGAAAGGTTGCATTTTTCAAAAAGCAACCCCCAGATTCCTGTCAGCAACAGACTTTCCAAACATTTCCAAAGTTTATACAGCAGTCAGGAATTATGGGAAGCTAGGATGAACTCTCTGCTTTCACTAACACAGGTTTTTCTCTTCCACCCTGCAACTTTATGTTTGGAAAATGGGAGAGAGGGAGGAAAATGGTAGGAGAATGCTGGCTCTGACGGAGGGGAGCCGCTGAGTCATTTCAAGCAGAGGAAAAACTCCTTTGGGAGAGAATGGCTCTACTTGTTATTGCTCGGAAATTTCTAAACAGGAGACTTCATGTTTCCAGTCTTACATTTCCAAGCACTGCTGCCATCACTAGAGAGAGGAAATAGCTCAGTGATACAGCACATTCTTTGCATGCAGAAGGGCCCAAGTTCAAGTCCCAACAATCCCAGGAAGAGCTGGAAAAAATCCTGTGTGAAACCCTGGGAAGTTGGGCTTGTCAGTGACAGGCTTTGGATGACATGCTGTCATTCATCATGGGTTAAATAACCCATAAACTTGTGTGTGAGTCAAGGAACACACAGGGACCAAAATGCACACTGAGGAGCTGGTTCTTTTGTGAGAATTTAGTGACCATGGGTTATGCAAGAGTGTGACATCCTGAAACAAACCCTATGTTATGCAAGGGCTGTTTAACCCCCATATAACCAATACTTGCTGGGTTTACATGATATGATAAACCTGAGTGAAGGCTGCATATTGAAAATGGCAGGTGCACATGTTCCACAGGCTCACTATGGATTAAATAACCCATAGCTGGCTGTTGTGTCATGTAAACAGCCTCAGGATTGACAACAGTGTTATACATGGAGCAGTGGTCGGATTCAAAAGAAGACAGCTTCCAATGTTCCACTACTCTTAATCTCCTGCCACATCTATACAGGATTTGCTCCTACATCTGGAGGTGCTTTCACGTGAAATGAATTCTTCCAACTTAGCCTCATAGATTTTTTTTTCAACAGACTTTGTGCCCGTTAACCCTCATTTTTCAGTTCTATGGACAGTTCAGTTCTCTCTTTCTTCAGACTCTGATGGAATTAATTTGTCATCAGTTGCAGATTAATAACAATCTGCAAGCAGCCACTTAGTAATAATCTGAAAGGTGCAATGAAAATAAATTAAAGTCAAGACGTTTAAACTAATGCTTTACAAATGTGAAATTAGGATAGCTGTACTTGTAAGTAGTGATATAAAGGCAACTGCATACATTCTGTGAAAAAGAACAAACTAAAAACTCACAAAGAAAGACCTGAAGCCACCATGTGGCAAATAATGAATACTGCTTGAGGATATTTTGATGCACTGGGAATTTATTTAATTATGTCCTTTTAAAAAGATTATATCTTAAGAACAGATAAAGAACTGTCAGAGCTGCTATCAACAGGCACTGGTGTTTCAGTAAATCTCAACTTTCTCAGGCAGAAAAAAAATTCATAGTGAATTCACCATTTTTCACTATACAAGGATAAGAATCACACTTTTTGCAGGGTGAAAATGAAAACTAGGCATTAAAAAAGTCTAGAAACTACAATGCTGAAATTTTTAAGTGGTTACAGATAGGGCCCCTTGAAAAAGTTACTTGCATGTGAAAAGGGGCAACACAATACCAAGATTTGCTTTGAATCTGCTAGAGCCATTCTAATGAGAGGAGACTTAAAGGTGACACAGAAAAAAACACCTTGGGTGTTTTTTTGGGTGGCAAAAGGTAAAGCAACACCCCACATATGCACTCTCTTGTCCATTAAGAAAGGCTAAGTTTGACTAAGTTTTACTTTGCTCTCATCATCATAATGGTCTGGGACACAACTTTATATGCACTTTTCCCAGTGAAGCACTGAGTAGATGCCAACACTATTAAGCTTTAAAGAATACAGTTCTTAGGTGGCTGATTTTAACTTCTGACTTTACAGTTAGCAATTCAGTTTGTATTTGTATTGTAATGTTTGTACTGCAAAATCATTTTGAGCATAATGTGAAAATATGAATATGTTAACTAAGCAAATTTGTTGTTCTTACATGGTGCAAATAATGCTACCTTAATACATTTACTTAAACAAAAATGGATGATCAGTTTTCTTGAGCATCAAACAAAAAATCCAGCAACACTGTGATCAAATGTGTAAATACCTCAAGTCCAGTTATATTTTTACAGTATCAGCCATGCAAAATCTCACATTTAATTCTGTCCCTTGAATGGAGGACTAAGCTGTGTGTGGCTGTCTGGATTACATTCTTGGTATGAAAATATTCATAATAAAAGTGAAAGTTATCTCCAGCTGACATGGAATGTTTCAAATATTTAAGGTTACAAGCCTTAAATATTCAGATAGCAAAAATCCCCACCACTTTCAGCATTTCCCAGCAAAATCTATCATACTTCTAAAGGTAGGTATCCTGGGTCACCTTGCACAGCAAGAAATCAAGTGTCAATTCAAATTGCTAATGCAATTCTATGTATTTTGTTCACTTAGGTTAGATACATAGAATACTTCCTTATAAATCATATGCGATCTTACTTGAAAATTTCATCAGCAGTTCTGAAGATAACTGGATGACATGCAGCCTGGTGCTGTTGAAAGCAATATGGAAGGAAACTCTTAGTTTAGACAACATATGTATCATAAACACAACCCGCCTCCGCCCATACAGCCAATAGTTGATTCCCATAGTAGAGTAATCCACTGTAATACTCAATGTTGCCTTAGCCAAGCTGCTAAGAAGTGCCACCTGTCTTCACAGATGTAATGACTTAAAAGGAAGAAAAAGTACTAACAATGTCATGAAGTAAGAGAGGCAGGTTATTACTGAGATGTAAGAACACCTCTCTAGTTAAGGTGCCTTATATTCTCTATAAGTGCACCAACATTCTATTAAGGAATAGGGTTTTCACAGACGTATAGGGAATAATGCCTGAATAGAGTGGAATGACAGCATGTAAGCACCACAGGTTCACATACATTATCCCCTAATTATAATCTTAAATTATTTCTTTCCTATTTTTGATTAAATCTGTGAATTTTGTTAAGTTCTTTTAAAACCAACAAAAAATAAACTAAATCTAATTATGGTTGTCCTTAACTGCAATTAGTGAAAACAACTCACATGTTTGAAGCTGGCTTGTTTCCAGTAACCATACTTAAAATTAACTTCAGTCTCTCCAGGTTTGGATGACATAGCAAGATGTGCCTAATCTAAAATGGAAGCAAATGCTTCCAGGTTCCTCTCTGGCTGCATCAGAGAAAGGGTAGTACATAAGCTGCGGGAAGATTAGCATTACATCCAATAGTGTCTACGATTGCACTCTTCCTATATGTGTGCCTTCAGAGAGCACTTGTTTGCTGCAGAACCTATGTGTTGCAAAGACTCTGGAATGTTCTACACTGCACATTCACTTCCCATAGACTATTGGCCAAACTTGTTGAACCTTTCTGAAATCCAAAGATTCTAAATTCTCCATACTTGCATAGGAATTCATGTTTCCAAGAAATGCCAGCATTCTCCAGAAATACTTGATAAACTAAAACTTTAAAAAATGTTATAGAGATCTACCCACTTGGAAAAAAGGCATTTCATCAGACTTCAAACAAGCATATTTTCCCAAAAGTACCATTCATTTTCCCAGAACAGTTTTCTTTTGTTACGTCCATTAGAGATTTTTTTAATATGATCGAGAAAGTCTACATAACAGAATTCTTAGGAGGCAAGTACATGTCATCATTGGGGATATGCTTGGGATATTTTCAATATGATTTGATAAGTGACATTCTAGATCAGCTATATGATTATTAGTTTAACAATCAGATTCAGAGATTAATCAGTGATTGCTTGAGTTGTTTTTCACATGGCTACTCTTAAGAATGGCTAAAAAAAACATTTACCAAGATGTTAATACTTACAAAACAAAAATTCACTTACATACAGTACTTAGAAAGGTTTAATTATAGAATGATTATTCTAAAGCTTCAGGTTTAAGCTTGCTTTAGGAAAATCAGCTTCAGAATGAAAATATGGACTAAAGCATTTCCTTGCCCCAGCTTGGAGTAAGAAGAAACTATACAACTATACATATTGAGAAAGACTTTTAAGTGTGCAAGATATAAACCCACACAAAATATCCATGTGGCTAAACCAGCTTGCATGAGAATGAATCCATTGATTTGGAGGTATAGATACATTTTAGAACATTCTCACAAAACATAAAGGGGAAATGAAAAGAGGCCAATAGTCTAAACATCTTCTCAATTTTCCTCGCATGTCACCATCACATTGAAAGGATTAGATGGCACCTCATTTCCCTGTTGTACTGCTCAATTTTCTGTCATATACTTGCATTAAGTTGTCATATTAAAGGTATGCCACCTAGTGTTCATGACTATTCACAGCTGGTTCTCTTACGTATTTGTGAAAAACAACTTACAGCTTGTCAAAGGGCTGCCATCTCTACAGCCCCTTCCTTTGAAGGAGATTTGGGTGGATATAGGCTAAAAGGACAAGATGCAGGTCAGATGAGTTGTAGCTCAGGAATAGGCAGTGTGTTGCAGGTTTAAGGGCCCAGGTTTGATTTTCAGAACTTCTGCCTGAAACCCTGGAAAGCCACTGCTGGGCAGAGTCGGCAATTCTGGGCCACTGGTAGGCCTCAATATAAAGCAGCTGCCCATGTAGAGCAATCTAGTTGCACAAACAATAGCAGGCATTCAAAAGATTGTGCCATTTCACATATTTGTATGCGGGTCAGGGCAAAAGAACTAATTTTCCGGTTCTTTTTATGTCTTTAAAAAAAATTATTTAATCATACCATGGAATTACATTTACTAAACAACGTTCAGCTTTTTTCTCACTTCAGTACTGCATTTTGGTCCCTGGTGTACTCTGTTATTTCTTTAATAGCCAAGAATTTTATTTCCCTGCAGTGCAGGAAAAGTGTTTAGCTTGTGCATCTGATACAGAGTTTCAAACCCTTTCTTATCTGTGATTCTCTTTGGATAGCCTTGTGTGAATCACTATTTCTCCGACTAGCCTGCCTCATGGGATTGTTTTGAAGCCCAGCTCTCACACTCAGCATCTGAGCATAAGGATGGTAGGATACAAATGTAACAAATAAATAAATAATCCTCTGGATCAAACACTTGTATAGTTTTACAGTTTGCAGGTTCTGCAAAACAGAATGCATTCCCAACTCAAATTCTTTTATGTATGGAGTAGGTAGTTTGATACCACACAGTATAGTGATATCACACATTTTGTTTGTTTCAACCTTGTGCTGTAGTGTTGCTTGCAGAGGTTTCTTGTATGGGATGGGAAGGGAGATCATGCTATAATGCCTTAGTAAAACACTTTTAAAACTTAGGTGTCACTTGTTCTCAAGCACACCAAAGTCTTCAACTTGGAATGTTGTAGTGGATATTTACATGCTTAAAGAGCTGTTAATAAAAGTCAGAAAATCTCTTAAACAATGCAAAGTTTTAGCGGAATCAAGATCAAAAGTAGCCAAGAAGTTGGACAAAATCGGTACAAAGTGAAACATGATTTATTTAGGGTACCCTAAACATACCACAATCTAACAGGGTTGTTCCCCCTGGCCCTATCTGCACTCTATCTTTTACAGAGGCCACCTGCAAGGGGGCAGAAAGAAAGCTCCTTGCTCCATCAGGCTAGAAGGTAAGTTTAGCCGGTGAGCTACTGGTCTCCCCCTAAGACCCTGTGTTGCTATCAGGACAGCTGAAGCTTCTCCTGCATCTCTCCACCCCAGTGCCCTTCAGTGAAGTCAATACTACTGCCAGCATCTGAGAGAAACAGACAGGATTCAGGATAGGTCTTTGCTAATTCCAATCCCTCTCAGCAAGATGGCACCGGCACTGGCTCCAAGAAGGGAAACTGAAACGTTCCTCATTTTATTGCTAACTGAAACAGCAGCTAAGATACTTGGTCCTACTGCCACTTCTCTAGCCTTCATTGTAGCCAGTACAGCACACATCCATACAAGGCAGCAAAGGGATTTTGGATAAATCATTCCAGACTGGATTAAGTCCCACATTTGCCTGTACTCTGTCTCCAGAGTAAGCCATTCCTGAATCTAGTTTTCTTGTAGCCAGAGGGGGAAAGGATTGTTTTTGCTCAGGAGTATTGGCTCAAAAGCATGCCGCTTGGCAGCAAAGAAGCAGCGATACTAATATTTTTAAAAAAGGAACAAAACATAAAACAAAAATCAGCTCAAATCAAAGGCGGAAAACAGTGTGTTCCAAATGTGGCCTTTAGCTGAAATTAACTGGAAGATTGCACTAAATGCTCATCCTAGCAGATACCATCTCCATGTGTGGGCCACTACTTTCCATTCCTCTTGCTATTATGCAAAGTTTCCATGCTTCTAGGAGAGTTGCACAAAGCATCACCCATTTGTGTTACGAAACAGAATCTCACAGAAGAGCACTGGATGTAGAATATTTCCAGTCACGAAATGATCTCTGCTGGTGATAACTTGTGGCTAAGTATCAGTGCAAATAATACCGTTTGCTAGCAAACCATGCCCCCTCCACCACACACACACACACACTGCAGTTCACACAAGATAGTTGCACAATCATTTGCTAAGGCAAATGTACTGCTATGTTTTTAGGGACACACCTTTAACCATCTGGAAAAAGAACTGATGTTGCCAAGTCCTGAAAGGCAAAATAGCATTATAGAGGTTGTTTCAGTATGTGCAACCTGTATAACACTTATCTTTTGTTTTTATACTTCCTAGTAACTATAGAATTTCCATTACCAATTTCACTTTTTCCCAAGGGATGGAAACATAAGTAACAGCACACCACATAAACTAGAAGTTACTAGACCATCACACTTTAATTACATTTGGAGCCCTAATATAACAGTGTTGGATATCATATTTCTTCCATAATAAAGCACAGCAGTCTTCTACTACCAAGACCAGACTTTAAAAGCCTCAGTTCTGTATGCTGCTCAGTGCTGTAGCCTACAGAATGCTGTTGCTCCAACCCCTTGCACTTTACCACTCAGGCAAAACACCAATGACAATATATTCGAGATCTTGTTCATGTATCTATCACTGTCCTGGTTGCATCTTCACCACAAACCATTTAAACTTAAATTAGGGGGCTGTTTCTGAACTGGCTGCTTTGCTCTGGCTCTCTCAATACACTACTTCCAACTATTTATGCTTATGGATTTCCTTTCCTCTCATAGCAGTTTCGTGAATTGCTCAGAAGACTCAGTAGGACTGAGTAATGTATCTCTGAAACCCTAAGGCACTTGGAACTGGGGAAATCTCTTAACTAGTTATGAAACTGGTGCAGAGGGAACGGCAAACACTGTTAGCTAGGAGCATCCTAAGTAGCAAACTAAGCTAACGTTTTCTTTCCTCTTCCCCTGATATACGTGTTTCTTACCAGCTGGGAGTTAAGGAAAAACAGTGGGGCACACAACTCCTCAGAAACAAACAAAAAAGACCCTTCACTTACAAGTTTAGCTCCTTTCCACTCCATCTTTAGCAGGCTCCTCTAAAAATAGGAGAATGGCTCTTAGCACCAAACTATCTGAACTTTAGCCCAGTGCTTTTTACTTTTTCTGTCAAAATATCCTTCAGGTACCAGTATTAGACATGATACTGGTGTTTTAAAAGTTAAAACTGAAAGTATGCTCATCAGTAATGAAAATTGCACATTATGACTTTCCCCCAGAGCATCACATCCTCAGATGGAAATCTTAGAGCCATGAATGACACCTGTTTGCTCTTTGCTGCTAATGACCTGTAAATGTCACTGCTTTTCTCCTAATTGTGCATTTGTGAAATATTTGAGATGTTTTTAATACAACAGAGGGGAAAAACCATATTGTTTTTATTAATGCCATGTACCATACTCACTAATAAGGACTGTTTTATCAGACATGCCATCTCTTGCACTGAAGTTAGCTGACTACAGATTAAATTTTCAATATTCTGCAATACTGCTTTCTCCAGACTAGGAAGATGACGGAGCCACAACTGCAGCACAGCAGATTCAGACAACGATATTTTCTTCCTGTATTAAAAAGGAAGCATGTTATTTTTTTCCATCCCAGCTACAGAAAAAACATGGATTACTACATTAAAGTGAACTGCATAAACTACTATCCAAACAACACTTGTGTGTGTCCCCTTATGTGCATCTTCCACTAAAGCATTTGAAGAATTTGGAAATGCCTTATTTAACAAGAGTTTTGAGATATTACTACCACTGCAATTATTACCCCAGAGAATAAGAGGACAGAGCCTTACTCTGTGGGCTGAGAGCCTATAATCAACACTGGGAGATAGCAAAGGAAAGAGATGGAAATAGGGGCAGGGATAAACAGGTAAAGAATTGGCATTATTATAATCAACATAATTGCCAGATTACGGTTACACCTCATTATGGGATTATTCTCACAGTCGTTAGGAAACTGGAATACCCAGTGAACAAATGAATTATGAACAAATATAAAGATATAATTAAAGAGTTCTTGGTTCTCAGCTCCTTGATTCTAAAAGCACACACTCCCAGAAAATAAAAGTAATTATTCTAACACAGTTATATAAAACTGTATCACACTTTAATATATACCAGATCTTCTGATCCTTCACAAATTAGAAACTGTAATGGGTACACTTAATTGCACCTAATGCTTCCTGCACTGTTTCTTCTTATGTTACAATGGTAAGATAAATTGCTCAATCTAAAATGATCCAATCCTGAATTGCCCTCACCTCAAATTTACATCAGCAGATTAAAGCACCCCTTTCTTCTGAGGACCTCTATCTGATTGTCTCTCAGAACCATTGTTTTTATAATACTGAGCCAGCTAGCCAGCCAGCCTAAATTTAATCAAGGAGATTTTGATCCTTTATGAAACCCAACCACACTAAGAGTCCCCCAGGATTCCACTTCTAGCCTTTTCATTTGCTCTGTTGCCAATCTTACATTGCCAAGCCTAGAAATGTAAAATTTCTGGAAATTTCAAAGTTGTAGGAAGAAAAAAAATGTTTTTCCTTGGTCTTTTTTTTCCCCAGAACCACCCCCCCCCCCGCAATTTTCAGAAAAATTGCCCTATTAACACTCTTTACAGCTTGAAAGTCACTTTGGTACTTCAGGAATATAAAATGTGTTATGCATAACTTGGTTTCACATAAAATTATCATCACTGACATATTAAAAACACAGTTTATTCAGAAAATAATTACAAACTGAATTTACATGTGTGCGTATATTCAACTGTAAGGAACACCTGAGCCATACAAAGCCACCTTCATTGTGCCAGTTTATGAGGAGCAGCAAAATAAATACAGAGGAAATAATCAATATTAATACTAATAGAACAAAAAAGTATTCTTCTGTCCTCCTCTCCACAGTGTCAGGCAGATGAATCAAGTATTCATCCCAATGGAAAGGAAAAAAAGGGGAATGAATGTTGAAACAAGACTTAATGGATATGCATGAAATTTAATCTTATTTTCTGAGCTATTGCTATCAGTTTCAGCTTCTACTTCTTCTGTTTCTTTCCCTTTAGGACAGTTATCAGGGACTTCTTGAAATGAATGTCCATCTGGATTAAACCCTTTCACACATCAGTTTACTTCTTGATTTAGTATGAATATACCCAAAACACTAACCATGTTCTTTCATGTGCTGCAGAAGGAGATGGATGAAGCAGGCAGAAAGCATGAGAGGTCCAAGGATGCGGTGCAAACAGCTTTTGCATTTGAGAGTTATAGTCCTACCTTACAACCTAGAACTAGCTTGTTCCTAGTGCATCAGAATGGTAAAGACTGATACTGTACATAAACATAGTTTTTAGAAAATCTTTTGGGGGAGTAAATATAGGAACTCCATGTATGAAACAGTCTATGTTTCATTCTGAAAGACAATATCCCGTAACACTTTTTTCCCCCCAAGAAGTAAGCAAACAAAAAACTTGGGGGAAATGGGGGGGAGGATATGGAGAAAACCCCTTTTCCCCAATTTTTTCCATTTTTTGGCACTTTCACATCTCTAGTGAGGACCAGAACCTTCCTCTTTTGTTTGTGCTGTTGCCTTTTTCCCTAGAGAGAGCTTTGGACCCTGTGAAGTACCCATTGTTACAGTCTCGGATGAAGCAGCCAGGAGCAGGTACCTGGAAAGGCAGGTAAGATTGAAGCAAGGACAGAAGCAACAGCTGGCAGGGAAGGGCAGTGCCAGGACCACAATGTAGCCACCACAGAGACCTGTTTTGCTATGGCAGACATGAGCAGTGCAGGGATACCTTTTACAGAGCCCTTTAGATCTCTTAGCTGTGCAGCATGTTCACACAGGCTCCAATCTTCACAGGTGTGCTCCTGGTCCTGCAGGCACTTGCAGGGTGAATTATGCTGCTCGCCACCAGGGGGAGCTGTGTCATGGTTTCAAATCCTGACACTGGTGGTCTACCTTTTGAGAGCTACAAAGCCAGGATGACCTGCTGCAATGTGATGGGGCTGTTAAGGAAATGGTCTTTAAGCACAGTGGTTTTTCCCACCTGCTGGCCATGTTAAGAGCAAAAGGCACTGTGCCAAGGTTTTATGAGGACACAAAGAAGCCTTCTCCAACATCTAGCTACTTTCTTTTCCCCTTCTTTCTTTCCTTTGTTCCATTAGTTCTCTTCTTCCCTCCATTTTTTCTGAGTGAATTAAGGTCCAAGCAGATCATTTGTTTCAATGCCCTCCACTCGAAATTCTGGTCCTGAATTTCTTTCAAGCTGTGTGTGATGCTCTGGAGTCCCTAATAATGGTTTATGCAGTTGTTGGGTCTCCCCAACATCACCTTTGTCCATCAATTTTGGATAGAGCAGACTTTGTCAGAGAGGATAGTGAAACACATTGGTGCAACCACAGAATACTGTATACAGTTTTGGTTGCCACATCTGAAAAGGGAGATTATTAAGTTGGAAAAAGCACAGAGAAGGGCAATTTAAATGACCAAGGAGTTGGAGCAACTCTCCTAAGAGAATGGTTACAATAGATGGGGTTATTAAGCATAGAAAAAAGGAAAGTACAGGGAGACATGCTGGAAGTTACAAATTATTCAGGACATGGAGAAAAAGGAGAAAGAGAGAATTTTTTTCTCCCTCTCCCATAAAACTAGAACTTCATCCCATGAAGCTGATTCATGAGATATTCAGGAGAGATAAAAATAAGTACTTCAAACAGCACATAGTTAAACAATGGAATTCACTTTCACAGGAAGTAGTGATGGTCTGCAATCTGGATGGCTTTAAAAGGGGGTTGGACAAATTCATAGAGGAGGCAACTATCAGTGACTACCAGTCTTGATGGCCATGTGTCATAGACCATCCATTCTTATGAGACAACAGGCTTATAATTTTCTACATTTGATTCTGACAGATCATTTGTTAACACAAGATAAATAGGAAGCAGCATACTTTGTTTGAAGGATTGAACTGCAAGATTCTCCAGTATTTTTATCCAAAAATTCTAAACCAAATTATTGTAGGCCAACACTAACATTACTGAGAAAGAGTCTACAATCTTGAACCTTTTCCTTTTCAGTGTTTAACACTGTTAGAACCCAAGGAAGTTCAAAATATTTATGATGTGTGTGTGTGTGTGTGTGTGTGTGTGTGTGTGTGTGTGTAATGTATATAGTAGATTTGTGATTTTTTCAAAGTAAATAATATGGAAAAACTACAAACTAGGATGATGTCCCAAGCAGACTACATGTCAAGCCTGCAGTTAGGCTGCAATCTTATATACTCCTGTTTGTTAGCCTCACTAAACTCAATAAGACTTAGTCCTGAGTAGTAGGAGGTTTGGGCCCTGAAGGCAGGAGGTGTGGGCTCTATTATGCTCAGTTTCAGAACACAAAAACTTCCTGGGAAATATAATAATGAAAGCATTCACCAAATACTGCCAGTCCAAGTGCCTCCATTTCAGTCAGGCATCAACATATCCATCAGGCATTCATGCACAATGGTACTGCCCTCTGGTGAGCACGATGGTGAGCACAGGTAACCTTTCTCTTAACTGTGAAGCTCTGGAAACAAGTGTGGAGGACTCCAGCAGTTGCTCAGCAATCCCTGCCACGAATCCAGGGATCCCAATTTAGAAGGAAGGCTGGAAGAGGTCTGGCACCTGTGTGACCAAAGCACTTGGAGACACTTGGCCATGAAGAATCAAACCAGCAAAAAAGACAAGACTGGCTATTTCTGTTCCAAAAGCATAAAGGTAGGCAAGGAAGGTTTGTATTAGAGATGTGATGCAGATACAGCCCAATCCAAAAGCAAGCTGAGATTTTAGAAAGATTTTGGAGATGTTTGAATTGAAGTGGGCCTCCAAAGTTTTCTCAGCAATTTAGAATGACAAAGAGAAGATTTGGGGCCAGTCCACATGATCAAACAGCCAGCACATGCGTATTCAATCCCCAAGTATGAGTTTCCACTTCATGCAAAATTGGTTATTCAGGTTTATGTGATCTTTACATGACATGGTCTGTTGTAGCATTATGCAAGAATTGTTTAATCCTCATATAATCCCCACTGGTTGGGTTCTCTCAACATAATAATCCACAGTTGGAGATTGAATATGCAGATCAGCTGGCCAGCTTGCATTGTAGCTTGCCATTGTTTAAACAACCCATGGTGGGCTGTTCTACTAACACAAGCCAGTTCAGCAAGTTTCCAAAAATGGACACATTATCCATAGGCTCCCCATATAATGGTAGGAAAGAGTCACTGAGTTGTATCCTCTAATTACAGTGAATGGCTTTACCAGGACTCCCCAGTCACACTGTTTTACAGAAGAAATGTTGAAATAACATATGGCAGGTTTGTTCCAGTGTGCAATATTCTTTGTTAGTTCTCTCTTCCAACCTTCAGGTAGCAGCGCTCCACCTTGTACACTAACCAGTGTCCCTTTCATCAAGAAAGGAAAAGAACTTGGCAGGTGGCAAGAGGAGAAGTGGCGGGGGATGCTGGCAACTACAATTTTTGGCTTAGCCAACAATCTCAGCCCGAAATTGTAGACCTCTGATTATGTTAATGTTTTGCTACAGTACTATGGTTCCTTTCAGCACTGTTTCTGGTTATATTCCAGTTTAACAGAGGAAGGGTGAAGGGTTCACCCAATAAATTAGGAAGTGTTCACAGAATGAAAAATTGTTTGCTAATTATTATTCTGATGGTTTCTATAATTACATTAACTCCAGTTTGCTTCAATTAGCACAGCAACTGGAAACAATTTTGAGCTTCTGAGAGAGGAAAGGCAATTAGTAAGAGAGAAGATTCCTGTGCAGGAGCTAGGAATACAGTCTTCACGATTAGAATGGAATGGAATGGAAGGGTATCTCCTTCTCAATTACCAGACACGCAAGGGAAAAAAGTTCCTGTGTTATGTGCATCAGTAATACAAACCCCACTGCTAAAAAGGCTGCCCAACTATGGAAACACAAATAAGGAATCAGAAAAAATCTCTCCTTTCCCTTCAAACTAGAAGACATCCCAAGGATAAAGAGAAGCAGATGCAGAGGGGAAGAGACAACAAGACCTGATCTGCATGTAATGACAAATCATTACAAAAAAGCTACTGCAAGGCAGGATAAAATACTATTAAAAAAGTTATCATATAAGGAAAACATGCTCTTCCCATTCCAGAAAATGAAATTCATGTAAAGAAGCAGCTATGCATGCATGGACCACTTGTACAAGAAGGACAAAACCCTGCCAAACAGGGAGGTATCAGACAACATCCAAATACTCCATGACATACATATAGAATCCTATACAGGAACTCATACACATGGAATAAACATGTGGAATAGCTATCTGAAGTATCAAAACTGAAATTTCAGCATACAGTAAACTTACAGGGAACTCAGATAGTTTCTGAATTACTTACTGTAATATGGCTTCATTCACTGCCTCCAAAAACTCAGAGTGGAGGACCTCCTCTGATCCATCTTCATGATATCTAAGGAGGGCTTCAAGCAGCGGCATTACATCAGGTAAAGTTATAAGAGGCACACAGAGAAGGGACACAGATGTTACTCGAGAGGAGGTACTGGAGAAAGAAAAGGACACTTCATTTGGGATAAACAGGCAATATTTGTATTTTTCAAAAAGATAATTAAAATGAACAGGCAAATGATAACTGGTCGTTCAGGAGTGTCTGGAGCTGTTCAGCCACCACCCACTCAAGCACCCTCCCCAGGAAGGAGGGATGCTGGCCACTGGCCCATAGTTGTTCACATCCTCTGGGTCTAGGTTAACTTTTTCAGGAGTGGCTTAATTTCAGTCTCTTTTAAAGAGGGGGGCACTACTCCCTCTCTCTCAAGGGGGCGCCCGCAGCCTCCTGGAGCCAAGTACTAATCTCTTCCTCAGTTGTGATAAGCCATGATGGGCAAGGGTCGAGCACACAAGCCAACTTGGCCAAGCACCTTGTCCACATTCTTAGGTCTCAATAACTGAAGCTCATCCAATGAAACTGGCCCAGGAAGTACTTTGGATGCTTCTGTTGGTGGAACTGCATTAATTGTGGTGTCCAATTCTTGATAATCCAAGCAACTTTATCTTCAAAGTGTTAGGCAAATTCATCACAGCAAGCTATCAAAGATTCTGCAATTTCTTTCTCTGGCCCAGAGGATAGTTAAGCAATGAACCACTCAGAAAAGCTTTTCTGGATGAGAAGATGCAATGGTGGTGGAAAAGAACTGCCTCCTTGCCACCCTCACTATCACAGAATAGGCTCAATAATGAGCTCTAATCCATGTTTGATCAGAACCAGCATGAGTTTCCCTCCATCTGTGCTCTAGCCATCTCCCTTCTTGCTTCATTGCCTTTAACTCAGGTGTGTACCAAGGAGCTGGACAGCCTCTGCTCAAGGGTGCTTGGGCATGATTGTGTCAACTGCCTAAGCCATCTCTGTATTCCACAGAGTGACCTGGGCTTCAATGTGCAAGAGCTCAAAATACCTAAACAAATATCCATTAGAATACATTGGATAAGAGTCAGTGTGGTGTAGTGGTTAAGAGCATGAGACTGGGACTCAGATGACCTGGGTTCTAGTCCCCGCTCAGCCATGGAGCCAACTGGGTGACTTTGGGCCAGTCACAGACTCTCAGCCCAACCTACCTCACAGGGTTGTTGTTGTGGGGATAAGATGGAGGAGGAGAGATGATGTAAGCTGCCTTGAGCCCTTTGTAGGAAAAAGGCAGGATATAAATCCAAAAATAAAATAAAAATAAATAATAAGATCAAAGGTCCATTCAGTCCAGCATTCTGTTCACACAATGGACAAACAGTTGCCACTGGAAACCTATAAGCAAAACTTAAGTACAACAGAAGCACCCCAACCATGATTCCAAGGAATTGGTATACAGAGGTTTACTGTCCCTCGAGCCTTTTTGGAGACATCATGACTAGGATCCAATGAGAGCCTTATCTTGAACAAACTAATCTAATCCCCTTTTACCGCCACCCAAATTTGTGCCCTATTTCAGTTAGGGTGTTACATAAGTTAGTTGCAGCAAGGAAGATGGAGAAGGAATGTTCCATTCCCAAAGCAGCATTCTGCCAATCTTCCAAGCCAGTGGACCTCTGCAAGAGCATGGAGTCAGCAGTATAAAAGCCTTAATCAGTGGAAGGAAGTAGACACTGATCAATGAATCACCCTGGATCAATGGAAAGAGGGAGTTCATCTCTTGGAGTGCACAAGCTTTGCTGACTTATACAGGAACAGAGCTAGACAAGTCAGAAATCGGTAGCTTTATTTATCTTGCTAATGTCACAGCTGACATCTTCATTATAATAGAGTATATGGTTCATCATGCTATCCAGGCTATACACTTTTCCAATTCTGTCAACAATTGTGACATTTCTGGAACAGAATTATTTTTTGAGGAGTGGTGAATGTGAAACAAAGCCAGTAAATGGAGCAGGTTAAACACAGGAAGAGCATTGGGCTATCAAGGGGCCTTTAATTTGTTGGAGCCCAACTCGGCTAACCTAATGATAATTAAACTGCCTTGTCTGTGGGGCAGGTTTGGAAGACTGAGGGACAGGGTGTGCTGTTGAACCAAGTCTCCAGATTCTCATTCAGTAGCAGGCTAGATCCTATTGTGGGCATTGAATATAACCTTATATAATCTACATAGCCTCAATGCACTTAATGACAACTTTGTTGTTATTGTTGTTATATTGTGGGTTGTCATGCACAATCCTGTCCCATACTTTCACTACTAGTTGTTACCATAGTTTACAACACATCAACAAAACACGGGTTCTCTTCCTGAGTTATTCATGGCTGACAATAACACATAGTTCAGTAACTACCCAGACTCTGGGTTGTGAACCAGGTCCATATCTAACACAGAATGGTGGGTGAGCCTCTCTGAAGCACAGAGCAAATGAAGAGTCTGATTTATGAGCAGCTGGTTCATTTGCTTGTCATCTCAATGTGAAGCTGGAGGAAACTTTGATGGGCACTATAGCTTGGGCATTAATTGTGAGCTTTGTGTTCACACTACCTCTTAATATGATTGTACTAATGAATAATTTGTTCATTAGTACAATCATATTTAAGTTTTACATAGGCATATATAAGTTCATTAGTTTCAGGATTAAGTAGTTTCAATATTTCCACATAACAAACAGTCTTTCTTTCACTCTAGTTATCTATACAACGGTCTACTAGAATTACAGACAGATAATGCTTACCTTTGTTGACTGTTAAACCCATTAAATGGATTTTGGCTGAGTTCTGTCACTAATGATAAGACCACCTGTTAAATAAAATCAATCACTTAGTACAGATACAGACACACTTTAGTAAAGGTTACAGTAAAAGCATTTTCTCACCGTTGAATTTCCATGCGGATTTGTGATCTTTGTATTTGCTATGACCCACAAACTGATCCCAGAACTGAAATTACTCTTTCTAAGCTTATTTTAAGAAAGATACAGCTTTAAAGTTACAAGCTTTAATAAATTTAATTGAACCAAAGCTTTAATATTTAGGAGCAATGTTTAACCAGTAAGATAGACTGAAGTGCACATTTATTTATTATTTAAAGGTATGTTGGCTTTGGTATATTACAGAAGTTAACTGAGGTAAAATTATTAGCTTTTTCATTTATAAATGAATATTAACTTTTGTTTATTCTACTTCCTTCAACATCTTCAAAATGACATGTGTTCTAGGTCAATGTACACATCTATTTAAATTTAGCAGCAAGGTTAATAATCAAGTAAAAAAACTTTAATTGGTGGACTCTACTAATTTTCAGCTTTAAAATAAATATTGTCTTGTGCAAAGAGAAAGCAAATATGAATCAGAATTACCTTCTGACAAATAATTTTTACACCATGCACTTCTATTTTTAAAAGGTAGTAATTTTAAAATTAGTGTTTAAAAAATAGCAATACCTGCAGGGGTTTCTCCCTTACTGGTCATGTTGAAGATTACATACTTAATATCACAGATACTAATATAAGCCTCATGCACATGAGCAGCTCCACACATAGGAATCTTACTTCATAGTACAGGACCAACAGCATTGGTGATCATTTGATCAAGAAATATAGATATATAATACAGCGCAAGAGTCTAAAATTTTGGCCGGCCAGCTATTATTTGTAGTTGCTATCAATCCTAACACTCTTCTGAATCATAGGGCAAAGTCTTACCTCTGATTTGGTACTGTACTTCAGAAACACCTCTTGTTGTAGGTTGAGAAAAGAGGTAGAGTAAGGAGGCAGGATCCATCTCTGACTTAATGTAGCACTTAAGAAAGCACTGAACAAGTTTGGACATCAGAACAAACTATGAATTGTGAACAAGTGGGAGTAAGCGTACTATGTTCCAACCATTCACCTGCTCCTGCTGCACTTAACTACCCAAGGATGCTCAATCCCTAAGTTGTTTCAAAGTACAACATGAAATTACTGACAAAGTGCCACACCTGAATTCCAGACTTTTTTGGGTGGGAGGGGAGTGCCAAATTCTGATTTTACAGGGATGTTCCCAGTGCCTCTAATCACACCAGAAAGGCAGAGATATCTGAGAGGATCAGTTGCCAAGTGGCTTCTGAGGCAACTTCTTTTGTGGACCACTGATATGTCATTCCCACAGTTAATGGTTACATACAAAAAGACTCACATTTTCAACAAGTTTAGAGCAGTAATCCACAGATGTGAAGTCAAGTGCAGAAATAAAGTTGTTAACTGCTTCAGTATCATGATTTCCCAATCCAGAAAATGACAGCAGGTGGCACAATGTACGCTGTAAATATAAAATAATTGAGAAGGAATAAAAGCAAGGGCTTCTGCTGTCTTTCTATAAAGCTGGAACAATGATGTGGCTACAACCTAAGTGAGAATTAAGAAGTGTACCCCTTATAGCCATGCAAAAATGACATTTGCTTACTTATATCTGCATTTTTCTCTTGCAAGGAATCCAAAGCAAATCCTCTCCATTTTATCCTCCCAACAACACAGAGAGGTAAGTTAAGCTGACAGTCTCCGACTGGTCCAAAGTCACCCAATAAGCATCATGGTCCAGTGAGCACAAGACTCAGGGTCTCCCAAGTCCCAGTAGAGCACTTTAAAGACTATCTTACATTGGCTCTCCAGTTAAAGACTCTATGGAGGAGCCAATCCTTGAATAAGCTATAAGCATGCAGTACAAGAGGCAAATGCAGTTGAACTACTGAGCATATGGCTACTAAATTGAACATACAGTATGAGTGGAAAATTTGTAAGGAACTCTAGAGCACTTTGCCTTGGCATGGAAAGGTTTCTAAAAATAAATGAAGTAGAATAAAGCTGAAATTCAGCAGTAGCGTATCCCTTCAAGAAACTTAGATACTGGTTAAAATCACATAATAGGTACTCAGCATATGTGTCACACATTAGAAAGGACACACATCCCAAAAAATAAAATAAAATAAAATAAAATAAAATAAAATAAAATAAAATGCCAGCATGGTTAAATAGTAGAGTCAATTGGGATATAAGAAACAAGAAGCTAACTTGTTGGTTAGCTATGCTATACTGACACAATGTGTGTCCCAGTCTAGAAGAACCTCTTTTTGTTTCACTGCCACAGGGGTCCCCCTTCTAGCAACTAGGTAAAATGGTATCTCCTAGTCATTGTTAATCATCATGGGGCAGAGTAACTGACAACTCTCAAGAGCATCATCCTATAGATCTTTGCTGCCTATTAGGAGCTATTTTGGGCCTGCGCATCCCTTTCCAGCTCTCTGTCTTTCCTATGCAATTAGATCTCCAGACATTCAGTCTCCTGGGTCTGCAAGATTATAAAGCCCAGTAGTAGCTTGTAATCCTGTGTAAATTCATTTACTATAGGTACCCATATTTCTACATGCTCTTGTAGACTAGAATTTGCCACTATACATGTTTGTTATCACTTAATACAGAGTTGATATTCTGAAGAATATTTCATGTCCTAGATTTGACTTGAGGAAAAAAAACAAGCCCCTCTTGTTTGTTGTCTGACTGTGAGAGAGTAGACAACTCCAGCAAGTAATTTTAGGTATATAAAAAGACTCTTTCTTGGAGATGCACCCTAACAATAAAGAGTGAGCCCATCTCCAGTCAAGACCAGCTGCCACTGTCATCATACACAGCAAATTTATACATTTAGCTTTCTGCAATGAATAGCAACAGAAAAACATCATGCAGGAAATCTTTAGTTACTTTTGTGTATGGTTATATTGACATACACTTCTGGTGTCAAAACAACCAGTTCCAGGCTTATCTTTACACATGTTGTCCTCCTTGGCACAGGTTTATTTTATATTTTCGGCTCTCTTGTGCCTTTCTGATAGAACCCTAAATAACTGATCCTTGTTTGGTCATCAGGAAAACATATTCTTTATTAATAATGGGATATGGGATATTGGTATATTAATGGTATATTATATATTGTATAATGGTCTGGATCCATGATGAAATAAGCATCTAAAATATGAAATGGCACCTCTAAGATTACAAAATGACTATTGACCTGACTTTTCCTTACTTTTAAAAAAGTAACTAACCTAAGTAGTTATATATACTTTTATTTGTTACATTTGGTAACTCAGCAGTCTAGAATTTTTTAAAAAGTGAATGATTCCAATTACACAGCATGACAGAGGTAACATTAACATGTAGGAAATAATTACAGAAAAATAGCATGAAGAGTGTGTTTCTTTTGTGGAGTACCAGCTTTTTTTTTTAAGTATTTGTGCTTGAGCCACAATTCACAAAAACAACAGCTGTTATACTGCCATCTAGCGACTGACATGTTAAAACTGACAAAATGAAAAAGTACCTTGAATTTTAAAAACAAGACAGATTGTCTTTGCGGGCAATTCCAACGACGAACAAGACAACAACATCAACATTAGAAACTTATCTATTTATGTCTAATTTCATTCCTGTGGCCTCTCTAATTACTCTAAACATGCAGGTTAGAGCTTTTTATCTCATGTTTTCCCTCTATGGCAAAATTAAAGCAAGTGCAAGCTGCTCTTCAGTCAACACAGAACAAGTGCATTGCCACAAAAATGGCACGGACTTCCTACTAGCCATCAAGAGGTCATAAATCAAGACCTTGTTGTCCACCATTGAAGTGAGAGAGAAGGTAATTATTTTCTGTAGTAATGTGACTGTAGTAATACATAGAACATCATACACTTTGCATACAAAAGTCTCCAAATTCAATGGATTGCTAACATCAGTTCCACTCAATATTAAGGCAATTACCTATGTTCCTAATTTTGCATACTCAAAGGCCTTGTTTATAATCTTATGGACTAGAGCTTGACTCTACTATTGGACCAGATTCTACTGAGGAGATGCCAACGACGCCATCAAGTCCACAATTAATGGATGAATTTCAGTTGTTGCGGCCTGATGATGTGGACAAGGTGCTTGGACAAGTACGCCCTACCACCTGCTTACTAGACCCATGCCCATCTTGGCTACTTAAGAAAACCAAGGACGGGATTGCCACCTAGATCCTGGAGGCGGTCAATGCCTCTTTAAGAGACAGTCAGGTACCGTCCTCTTTAAAAGAGGTGGTAGTCCGACCAGTCCTAAAGAAGGCATCCCTGGATCCAGAGGTGGCCGCCAGTTATAGACTGGTGGCCAACATCCTGTTCCTGGGCAAGGTGCTACAGCAGGTGGTGGCGGGACAACTCCAAGCACTCTTGGATGAAACTGATTATCTGACCCATTTCAGTCTGGCTTCAGACCTGGGTATGGCACTGAATCTGCCTTGGTCGCACTGTACGATGACCTGTGCAGGGAGAGAGACGGGGGAGTGCGTCCCTGTTAGTTCTCCTGGACCTCTCAGCGGCTTTCAATACCATCGACCACGGTATCCTTCTGAATAGGCTGGCGGGATTGGGAGTTGGAGGCACCGCGTGGCGGTGGTTCCGCTCCTATCTCATCGGCTGATTTCAGAAGGTGGTGCTGGGGGACTATGGCTCTGCGCCATGGCAGTTATGCCATAGAGTTCTGCAGGGGTCCATTTTGTCCCCTTTGCTATTCAACATCTACATGAAACGGCTGGGAGAGGTCATTAGGAGGTGTGGGCTGCAGAATCATCAGTACGCTGATGATACCCAGCTCTACCTCATTTTCCACCAATCCAGGTGAGGCAGTGGCTGTGCTGAACCAGTGCCTGGCCGAGGTAATGGGCTGGATGAGGGCCAATAAACTGAAGTTCAATCCAG